GGGCCTGAACTTCCCATGTGTCCTTCATTTGCCATTTGCCAACTTTTCCTCTCCTGATATACCACTACTCAACAGGGACACCTGACATGTGGAAAAATGAGTACGTCCCAACAATGCTGGATTACACTTTCGGCAATTTCTCACATATTCCTATTGATTACTATGATCTATTTTTCTTTTAAGATTTGTTTATGTACTCAAGAACTGGGCGGTGCATGCAGGTTGTGCTGAAAGGATTCACCAGAGACAGAGCAGGGAGCAGAACAGACGGATCTACTGAAATACACTGTTGAGGGAGCAGAAGGCAACTCAGGAGAGATCTGTTGCACCATGTGGGTCAGCTCCCAGGTCTGGGATCCAACTCACGCTGCAGTGGCTGTGGATTGCTTCATAGTGCTGAGACTTAACCCCTTGTGCCACCAGGGAGGCCCTTAAGTTTTTTCCTACGAGGCAATGTACACAAACTATGAAAGCATCAAAGCCACTAAGCTGGACATCAAGCACGTGTCCACAGAAGCACACTATTACACAAACTGGCAGTTAGTGTAACAATAAAGTGACCTGACTTACCTCACTGATGAGAAATAAAGGGAACTAAAAGAATAGGAGTATTAAGATTCAGTTACCATACAACAGGAACATTACTAGTTTTAGTTTTTATGTTATTAGGGATGTGTTTTTTATATCATGATAGAAATGTCAATCAAATTGTAGTATCATGTAAGAATGTTAAAATGACAAAACCAGTCAGAGTAAATCTCATGGGTTATGCAAATAGTTATATTTAAATATCTCTAATGTTACAGAATCAGTATTTGGTAAGATACTCTTGGAAGACTCCCTTATATATTTTGCTGTGATGAGTAATCAAATAATATATTAACCAATCAAGAATCAGTTATGGTATCAGAATAAGACAAGTAAAACTATTTTTTCAGCTCATGTAACACTGTAAATTACTTTTGAGATTATCAAAAGTTAAATACAACAGAAAGCTTGTCACCCAGATCTGACCCTTAGCTTCGTCCTCAATAGACAAGCAACAGGCTCTTTGGAACCCTATTTGAACTGCAGGTTGGGAACTGTTAGTGGGTTATAAAATCTCTTTGTGATTTTAGTCACTATCAGCAATAAAACAAGCTAGAAATGCAAATGTCAACAAGCCTCAACCCATGATAAGCAAAGGACAGGGGAAGGTCTGCTCCAGTGATCTGCATGTATGCAGCACACACTTACCGTGCCCAGTCCTGCAAGTAAAACTGCTTTTTCACTAAGATACTGTCAAACACACACACAGCCTTAGCGGAATCGTTCGTCATCTCCACTAACAGAAAAGGCTTGGAACAGCAGGTGTCTGGGGCCTCACTAGTGAGGTGAGGGCGGTGGACCGGTTCAATCCAACAGTACAAGGGGCATGGGAGAGGGAGTAGTGACGGCTGGTGAGATACGGTGATTGCAAAGGTTTAAGAGATAAATTACTGATTCAAAACTCCACCAAGTTAAACACCCCCCGCTTCCCTCACCAGATGCAGTCCAGATCTTTGGACTTGACACCGCTGCCTTTCCAGTCAGGTCCTAACCTTCCCGTGTCTCCTTTGCCCTGGCCCTTCTCTTGCTCTATCCAACGGTCCACGCCACGCAGAGAACCTTAAGCCCTTACATTCTTGGCTTTTCTTCTCCCCTCAACTTGGAAGGTCTTGTCTTGTGAGCCCCTGGTCCCTTCTGTTTATTATGGCATTTGGGGTACATCTGACTGGCATTTGGCAGTGGACCTGCTGGCTGGGTGACTGATGGTCCCTACAGATTAATACAACTGCTCCTGCCCCCCACCGGTCATGTTTTGCTCACTGGAGTCCCTGGGTTGCTTGGCATCCTGTCTTTTACTGATTTGGCCCCACAGATGTGATAATCTTGGGTTTGGTGTTTTTTTTTTTCACTCTTTGGATGTGTTTAAGTAATTGTGTTACAAAGCTCCAAAATGTATCCCGCACCAGTACCACTGTTATGATCTGGGGGAGCCACTCAATTTCCAGGTATGGACTGGTAGCTTCACATGACGTAGCTTTTTTGGCTCTTTTTCTGAGGCTTAGCTTGATCCAAAGACACATAAAGCCATCTAGGTCACAATGTGTTTAATTCTAAGCTTTTTGTTATGAGAAATTTTAACAAATACAGAAATAGGTATAACCTTCAAGTATCCACTGCCCAAATTTTATTTTTTTAAGGATTTATTTATTTATGCATACAGAACTGGGATACAGGCCAGAGGTGCAGGGGTGGTGAGAGGATTCACCAGAGACGGAATGGGGAGCAGAGTAGGCAGATCGACAAAGTGCACTGCTGAGGGGAGCAGCGGGCGAGACAACAGGAGAGGTCTGCTGCACCATTTGGGTCACCTCCTGGCAGGGGGTCATAGTCCAGCTGAAGTGGCTATGGCTAGCTTCATAGTGCAGCACTTTATTTAACCTGCTGTGCCACCAGGAAGGGCCTCCACTCCCCAATTTTAATGTTTCAACTCACGACCAATTTCTATTTTTTTGAACCCTCAAACAAGGAACTGTCAATAATAGGTCTATAAAGAGAGAAATGACTAAACCAAACTAAGCCAGACAAAACCCTGCTAGCGGCCTCCCTGGTGGTGCAGGAGTTAAAAACACAGCTATAGCTCTAATTTCCATCCTGGTCAGAGAGCTGACCCACATGGCACAGCAGACTTCTCCTGGCTTGCCTGCTGCTCCCCTCAGCAGTGTATTTCAGTGGATCTGCCTGTGCTGCTCCCTGCACTGTCTCTGGTGAATCTTCTCACCCCCACACCCTGGCCTACACCCTAGTTCTTGTATGCATAAATAAATCTTAAAAAAAAAACAAAAAACAACTCTTCTAGGGTCAGGTGGTATCAAAACAGGTGGTTACAAAAATCAAAACTTACCAAATGGTTAGCACTAACAATCGAGAGTTCTTTCAGCAGAGCAACACCTACCTTTGAAAAAGGAGCCCCCAGCAGGTAAACGTCTGAGTCACAGAAGTCCTGTGTTCCTGGCTCTGAATCACCATCCTTCTGTTAGTTACAGCCTCAGACACCTGAGGCTGTAATCACTGTGGTGCTAAGTGAAGACTGTACCCCGAAGAAGAAATAAAAACAAAGCTAATCTGTAAGTAAATGTAAACCTTAGTACTGAAATGATAATCAGCAGATCAGTAACACAATAGTATAATACTATGTGTGTCTGGTTTACTTTTGAATGTGTAAAAGCATTTAAGATAATTTTTAACATTAAACTTGGGGATATTAATTAAATGCTTCAAGTATTTAAGTAATAATTAAGATTAAGTGCTGGAAAAATTGTAAGTTGTTAAATGTGTAAGTTTTCATTTATTAGCTGCGAAAATAGTTTGCACATATTTAGAAAAACTTTAATTGGTTACTATTCGAAGAACTGTTCACTTGATAAATGTAATAAATTAGCAGATTGATCACTGAATAACACACAAAGGATCATAGGTTTTTCCCTCCATGCTGTCCTTGGACAGAAAGAATCTTAGACCACTTCGGGGCCTGAGGAAGGCCCCAGCCAGGCTCCCGGCCACTGGGTGCAGTGCCGAGGGGGCTGGGACTACCTGGATGGCAGCGGTTGAGCACCATGAAGGAGACTGAGGGGCCCCCAGGGCTGCTGTGCTGCTCTGTGGGGATTCTAGTACTCACGACGACGGAGCCTGCTTCTCCACGCCAGTCCCACTTCCCTTCGTGTGCGCTCAACCTTGTGCACACTGGAACCTCCTGATGCTCCCTGCCTGCCACCCCCAGAGACTGTGACTGAACTGGCCTGGGGTGCGGCCTGGCAAGACTGCCAAGGCCCCCCAGTGATTCTGATGAGCAACCAGAGCTGAGAACACGGCTCTCGCTGGAAGCCATCTCTTCTCTCTGTAATGTTCTGCTTCTACTTCACACTGTGTCACCAGTCTTTTTCCTCCCTCTCCTATCAGACTGTGGGCTCCCAGATGGCCTCCAACAATGTATGTGGCCCTGTGCAGCTCCAGATGACGCCCAGTGCCTGTGGCGTGGAGTTCAGGTTGGAGTGCGTGCTTCAGGCACCAAATGGACAGCCCCTGAGGGAGGCTCTGCCCTGCAGCTCCAAGTACTGTCTCCCCATCACCGTGCACACAGCCAGTTTCCTCCTGTGCTGGAACAGCACACTGCCTGCCTCCTCCTCCAGGCACCAGAGGAAGTAGGTGGTGGTGTTTAGGGGCCACCTTGCATAAAAAACACATTTAAGTACATGCCTCACCCTCAGCCTAGCAAGATGCTCACGCCATGCACAGCCTACAGGAACCAGTGTCTGACCCTACAGGCGACACACATCTCCCATCCCACACCCACTCCTGAACATATGGTCCTTACATCCACCGGTGGGTGGACTCACCCACTCCGTTTAGCTTTTTGTCAAGGATGTGAAGTTGAATTTATGTGATGTGCTGGATGAAGCACTGCTTCTCCCCTGCACCGTCCCATCCAGCTCATTTCATTCCTTTCACCTGCCCCACAATTCTCAGTCTGGCCACTCCTAAGCACCTCCCACTCCCTCCCCTCCCTCTTAAAGGCTGTAGTTCCTTAAGCCTCGACTTGGCACTTCTCATTAACTCTTATTAAGGGCCCCTGGCTTTCTTTAGGGCTTCTGAATCCATACAGTGAACAGTGAGACCTTCTCCCCAGCTGGGGATTAGTGGTCCAAGAGGTTTCCCATTCTGGAAAGTGTGGGGAGGAAGACAAAGATCTCACCAGCCTTGGGGGCTGAGCTTTCAGCACACAAAGGAACACAGTACAAGCTCAGTATGTTTTTGTGAATGAATGAATGCAAAGAATGGAACTTCCATCTGCCTCCAAAGGTTCCTCCTTCCACCACCCTCTACTACCCACGCCAGGATACAGTCTGAGGCCTAAATTTCACCTGCTCATCTGGGATCCCCAGTGAGGCCTTCTGCCATACCAAGCCACACCAAGCTCAGCAATGCTCACAGGCCTTTAATCGCAGCCTGGCCACATGTTGTCACTGCCCCGGGGTGGTGGGGAGACATAAAAATGTAGGTAGGCCAAGCCAATTCTGAGTCCGAGAGGGAAGGGCTAGGCTAGGCTGGGGCCTGGGCAGAGGGCGGCTGGCCCCAGGCAATGAGGGAGTTGCTGGCCTGGGCAAGCTCCGTGATGGACACCCGGCCCCGCTGGCGGATGAAGTTAGCCACAGCAGCCAATTCTTCTGGGGTTATGTAGATGAACTTGCCCCGGTCATCAATCACACCTGTAGGGAAGAACCGGTTGCGCGCTGAGCCCTGCCCACTGGCCTGTGCCTGCCCAGCCCCCACCCCTTCCCAGCTGGCTCAGGGCCCTCCGGCCCTTTGGCCTGCCCTTTCCAGGGTGCCAGTACTGGCCAGGCGAATCAAATTAGCCTTTCCCAGGGCCTCCCTGGTGGTGCAGGGGTTAAGTCTCAGCACTACCAAGCTAGCTGACCCACATGGTGCAGCAGACCTCTCCTGACCCGCCCCTGCTCCCCTCAGCAGTGTACTTCAGTTGATCTGCCTGTTCTGCTCCCCACTCTGGTGAATCCTCTCACCCCCGCACCTCTGACCTGCACCCTAGTTGCTGTATGCATGAATAAATACATCTTTAAGAAAAATTAGCCTTTCCTGCCTGTCCACACAACCCCAATGCACCCGTAGACCTGTACAAATCTTCCCTTTAATTGTGTTCTGCTCAGTACCCCTCACTGCTACTCCCCCACCCCCATGGCCACCCTGCCTCTGCAAATAGCCCTGCAGCCAGGCATTCCCAAGGCCAGGGGCTAAAGTGACCAACTCTCCTCTTACCAGTCAAAGTCCCCTCAGCCAGCAGATCCTGGATGCGGTTGATGGTGTCCTATGAGGAGAATAATTCTCAAGGCACTGACATTCCCAGAGAAGGCAGAGGCAACCTCTCTCCCGCCATAGCTAGAGCCCCTCTCCCCCTCATGGCTGTCCCCAATGTGACTCCTTTGGAGGGACCTTGGCGAGAAGGGACTCTGGTCCCATAAGACCCCTGTGAAAGACTCTCTCCCAGTCAGGAGAGGAGTGGTGGCAGCACTTAGCCATAGAGGTCGGTGTGGCCCATTTGCAAGAGACTTGATAAAGTCACTAAACTGGGGATTCTTTGGTTACAGGAACTGCTAGAGTGACAGGATTTGGGCTTTTTCTTGTTCTTCCTGCCTGTCTTCCACCTATTGAAAGGCAGGATTCCTGGGATGTCAAGAGAGTCCTAGACTCCACTGGGTCTCAGCTGGGGACATGGTGAAGGGGCACCAAGACCCCATCTCTAGGTTCCCTCTGACAGCCACATAGACCCTGTGGCCACAATCCACACTGCAGGGCTTACCTGAGTCCGCAGGCCCACCTGGGAAGCCAGGTCTTCTAAGAGCACGACCTTGGACTGCTGCAAAGAGAGGGAGGGAAAAAAGAGGCGCTGAGCTTGGGCAAATCCCTTAGCACTGGAACTGTGGAGGTGCTGTGTTGTCCTCTCGGGGGGCTGAGAAATTGCAGACTGCCGTGGGAGAGCCATGTTCTCCTTACATACTCACTCACATGCTCTCAAACCTGCCCTATCCAGGGACTCACAACCTGTGGCCTTGCTCACTCCCCTGCTTGAGGGGGAGATCTTTCTAGAAGCACCAGTTGCCCCACTGGCCCCGTCCTGGGCTGGCCACATGCGCAGGGTGCGGCTTGCAGCCGCCTTTCCTGCCTGTTGTTAACATCACGGACAGGTTGGGAGGGGAAGCACAGAGAGATGAAAGGAGGGATGACAGTCACCAAAAACTATTTAAAAAAACTGTGAGCGAGACTTGCTAGGGCTCTGCAGCACAAGGCACGGGGTGGGGGATGCAGAGGAGAATAAGAACTGGCTCCTGCCCTGGGTCACAGCCTGTTCGGGGACACTGGAGAGTTGGTGGCTGAGGAAGGAACACATGAAAGGCCCACAACCACGGCGCAGAGAGGCAGCAAGGCTCCTTCCTGCCTCGCCTTTGTCGCGGCCCGGCCTAGGATCCCCACACCCTCACTACACTCACACTTTCTTTCACCCATCTCTTCACACCCTCTGAAGCAACGAGTCCACTCTCAAAATAACTGGTCACACTGCGTGGTGCTTTCCCCATACGGCTGTGTTCCCGTGCCTCTCCACGGTACACATTTCAGGGGTATGGCCGGAGGTCCGCTGCTGGTCCTGCACATACACTGTTCCCACCTCCCCCACACACAGACAGATAAAACCCTGAGAAGCAGTCTTTGGAGGTCCATGAGTCTTTCGCAGCAAATGAGCTGGGGGAGGACTGACACAGTGACACCTCCCAGCTGCGGATGGCATGTGACTGCTCGAGGTGCCAAACCGAATCTGGGAGCTGTAAGTTAAGCAGGTGGCAGTGAGGCCACGGGGTGGGCAAGCACAAGGTGACCATGCCAGCTGGCCTCTACCTACAAGGCAGCAGGTGCTGGGGCCTCTGGGGCAGCTCAGAGTGGCAACACGAGCCACCCTAGGTAGCCCCTGAAGACCTGGCCCCAGGGGCTGCTAGGGTCCAAGTACGTCTGGAGAAACACAAACCCAGCCCTGTGAGACAGAACCTACGAGAATAAGCTATGCCACAACTCTCAGAAACTGCCCCAGGCACAGAAACGTTCCCCTGGTCCCAAAATCCTCAAATGCAAGGGCCCATCCCCTTGGGTGGGACGGGAAGTGGCTGAGTCTCAGCAGTGGAAGGCTTAGCCAGCACAGGCCAGAAAGACCTGTGAGCTTCTGAAGAGTTTGAGGATCCCCAGAGACGGTACCCCAGGAGAGCCGCTGAAAATGAGGCTGCGACTGCACTTCCTCAGGTCTCCGCAAAGGGGGCGCTACAGAGAATGGCTGGGTTCCAGGTCCTCCATGATACTGCCCACTGGGCAGGTGGGGTCAGTGATCTCCAACTTGACCATCAATTAAGGTGCCAGGGCGGAGAGTGGGCACCACGAGATGGGAGTGGTCACAGCCTGAGGGAACAGGGCCCTCTGGAAGCTGCTGTCTTTCTCCCGCTGGGCTGGGGAACCCCTGGGCCCCAGGCTGTGAGCTCATTCGCAGGCTGCTAGGAGGCCTAAACCCTCCTCTCTTTGGGGAGAGGTGGGGGGAGGATTATGCAAGCCCTGGCTTCTTGGCACCCCCTAGAACCACCCCCACCAACGCCCCCGCTCCCTCTGCACTCCTTCCCTCAGCCGCCTCTGCACCTCTGAGCTGCACTTGAAAACCTCTCCCCTCTCGCATCCTTCGTGGGAGAGGAGTTGCTTAGCAGCAAAGCAGAGCAGGACGTGCTTATGCAACCCGGAGCAGCATCCAGCGGCCTGGCCTGGGCTGCCACAGCAGGCTGCAGACAGAAGGGGCCACACCTGCACCCCATCCCAGTTCCCAAGGGAATAGCACCCTGTCCCCCTCTCAGCACCCACCAGGCCCAAGTTCCTGGTCAGGAACACATGGCAGGGGACACTTGTTTCAACTCAGTGGAGCCTCCGTGTGACAGAACTGACAGAAAACACATGTGACGAAACTTGAAAACACGGTGACTCACTCAGCGTGGGGTCTGAGAAGCAGGGAAGCTGTCAGACCCTGAGTGTGAGGAAGTGATGAGAGACGCAGGCCTCCCACACAGGCCCAGGTCCTTCTCCACCTTTGGAGTCTGCTGAGAAGGGACTCCCCGGCTGCTCAAGCTCTCCGGTCCCCAGCCCCCATTTAGTGGAAAGCCCACCCTCCCGCTCCGGTTTACCCCCTCCAGGCCCTGAGGAGGATGCACATGGCATGCACATGCGAGATGGGGAGCTGGCACCAGGGCCCACTCTGTGGCTTCTTACCTTAATGTAGCTGATGAACTCTGCCAGGAAGCTGTGGGACTAAAGGAGCAGAGAATTGGGGTGAGTGTCCCTCACAGGGACGGTAGGGTCATGCTTGCTGGCCACGTGTCCGTGCCCACCCACCTGCCTTCATGAGCAGCAGAGCTCACACAGCGATGGGTTCAGGGACGCCACCTCGTAAGGCAAGGTCTCTGGCTACTAGGAGCTGCTGGACCTTTCCTGGGGTGGGCAAGGAGGGCTGGAGGAGGCAGGGGGTGTCTGAGATGGGGTGGCTGGCCTTAGTGGGTGCAGGGAGGGTTTTCCCAGGTGGCAGGCCCACCTGTTCCTCAGTCATGGTCTCGCCCACGCCCTCCTCCTCCACCACGAAGGCCTCCTTCAGCTTCAGGTACTCCTCATGTTCCCGCTGGGCCTGCTCCTCCCGGGCCTTCCTCTCCTCCTCCTCCTGTCAGACGTGAGGACGAAAGGGTCAGGTCATTTGGGGAGCATGCCCACCCCATTCCTGTTCTGGACCCTCATCTCCCTGCAGGCCATACAACCTAACTTTCTCTTAGAGACGGCACTGCCCCGTCTCTGACTCCCTTGCCACATGCTCTCCAGCCCACCAAACCCATAGGGCAACCTCTGTGCCTCATCCCTGTCCTCTCAGAGGCACTGGCAGAGCTGACTAGTCCTTCTTTCTCCCTGGGCTAACAGAATCTGCCCTCTCCTGGACTTCCTCCTGCTCATCAGGTCATTCACCCTGTTTCCACCACTACTCAGCCCTGTCCCTTTCTGGGGTGACCTGGTCGTATCATGGCATCAGCAGCCATCTTGTGACTCACCCACCAGATGGCCTCACAGGCATCCCTAACTGACTATGACCCAGACCCCGAGATGTACTCCCCACACCTTCTATACTCCTCCTAGGTCACTGGCCACATGGCCAGCTGTCTGGTCAGGAACAAGGTCCCCTCTACTGTTTCCTCTTGAACTTCTAAAATAATCTCAATTTGTCCACATTACTTCATCATCTCTATCACCGAGTGCAACAGCCTCTCCCAACCCAACACACTTTCCAGAGCGCCCAGAAGGATCTTTTCCAAACATGAAGCTAAGGTCAGAACAGGAAATGCACAAGATGAGCCTCCTGCAGTGCCAAAAAGCAAGCACTCAATAAAACAAGACAAAACAACAAGGGTACGTCAAATGGACACAGGAGCCAACTGATAAAAGCTCCCCATGGACAAAGCTGGAGCAAGCTGCGTGTCTGGGTTTCCATACCAAGTATAAAGTCCACAACCTAAATCCACATGCATATACAGAGAAGACACAAATTTCTAGTACAACAGAATTCCAAACACTTTGCAGATCCTCTCTTAACTCCCCACTAAGTGTGGACTGTGTAATTTGTTTCCAAAGCATAGGAAAGGGGAGTAATGTTACCGAGGGGAAATCTGCAAGCACAACTTTTCCCAGGTGATCAAGGTTAACATCACTAGTGATAAGTGAAGGTGATAACACAGACACTTGTTATGTTGTGGTGAGGCTGGTCTCTGCATTGCAGTCACCCTCCTAGAAATCTATAACCCTGGTCTAATCACGAGAAAACTCTCAGCCAAATACAAACTGAGAGGCAGTCTACAAATGCCCAGCACTTCTCAAAACTGTCAAGGAGTCTCAGACTCTGACCAGAGAGGCCTGTGGAGACATGACAACTGTTAACTAGGATCCTCAGTGGGACCCTGGAAAAGAAAAGGGATACTGAGAAAAAACAAATAAAATCAGAAAAGTATGTGGCCTTAGCTGATAATATAGTGCATCAACATGAGCTGTGAACAATATACCACAATAAGGTGAGATGGTAACAACAACTGAAACTGGGTGCAAGGGAGAAAAACCCCAGGATATTTAAGGCGCACCAGGCCTGCTCATACTCAGAAAGGGAAAAAAACCGCTCTGCTAACGCCTCCCCTCTGCTGTGTTCTTAGCACTCACCACAGCAGCCTCCCTAGACATGTGGACAGTGAGGGACCAAAGGCATCAGCTATGGAGTCGGCGCTGGGGCGGCCCTGGCCACTGGTTCTCCCCTCCTCATATACCCCACAGATCTGTGATGCTCTCTTTCGTGGACGCTGTCTCAGAAGCCCTGGCAAACTTTTCTGCGTGGCTCCCTTTCCCTGCGTACCCCTCTATGCCAGGCCCCACGTGGACCCCACAGGCATGGCCCACCATCTCTTACAATGACCTTTTACAGCTGTAAGACCCTCAGAATGCAGACAGTGCCCTTACCTCTCTGGCCCCTCTCCCGCTAGCTTACCCTGCTCAAGTCACTCTCGATCATCCCAATGTTCCGGTTACTTTAAAAAAATCACACGCACTGGCCCTCCCTGGTGGCACAGCGGGTTAAAGCACTGCACTGAGAAGCTAAAGCCACTTCCGCATGAGTTCGATCCCCGCCTGCCCCGGAGGTGACCACATGGCGCGGCAGACCTCTCCTGACCCGCCCGCTGCTCCCCTCAGCAGTGTACTTCGGCGATCTGCCTGTTCTGCTCCCCACTGTCTCTGGTGAAGCCTCTCGCCGCCCCTGAGCTTCTGGCCTGTACCCCAGTTCTGTATGCACAAATAAATAAATCTTTAAAAAAAAAAATCACACACAAAAACCCGTCTCAAGCTCTGCTTTTAGCAGTTTTACATGAGCTCAGATTAGAGCGCAGGCCTGTTCCCACGCCCAGCCTCTCGGTAGGGTGTTGGTAGCTGCATGGAAGCACGGCTGCCTGGTCATGGGTCAGCAGTCAGGATCACAGGCCTGCCTTACCTTCTGTTCCTCTTCCAGGCGAAGCCTCTCCTCCTCCTTTTTCCATTCTGCCTCACGTTGGGACTCGAGGCGTTTCCGCTCCTCACGCTCAGCCTCCTCTGCCTAAAGAGAGGACTTCATAAGGGACACGTCCCCACCCACAACTGCAGCCTGCTCACTTCCCAAATAGGTCAGGGCAAGCAATGCCACAGACCAAGGTTGCAGGACAGAAAGACAGGCAAGATACAAACACCAGCCCGACATACAAAGAGCAGGAGAGGAAGATCTGTCATGAGGTCAGGGAAGCTGGCCCCTGCCTACCTCCCAGTTCTGCACCCCATCCCTCCTGCTTGCCTCACGCTGGGCTTTTCGCGCCTGTTTCTCTTCTAGCTTCCGTAGTTTCTTGGCTCCGATTTTCCCTGACACATGTGTTTCCACTGGCTTCTCACTGTCTTCTTCCTCGTGGGCTGAGTGTAGTCAGAGAAAGACACTTCAAGTTTTGGCCAGAGAAGACCAAAGATGATGGGTCCACCCCACCCCTTGTTCCTCTCTTCCTGAGGGTGTCCCTTTCCATTCACCTGCAAGAGTCACTAGCCCAGCTGTATTCTCTTGAAGCATCTACTGTGAATACAGAAGCTTACACTCTGAAGTGTGTACATTTTGGTGTGGAAGAGGCACCAGGGAACCATGGGCAAGAGTACAGATGAGGACTTTAAGTGCTGCACAGCCATAAAAGAGAAGCTCCAGGTTCCTTATCTCAGTGTCTGATAATAACAGGCAGGGACATCTGGGCGTTTGGAGTTCTCTAGACTCTGTGTCTGGGCTAAACCACCAGGGGAGGATGATCCCATGGGGAAACTTTCTTACCATCTCAAATCGGAAATCATGCTCACTGTGGCCAGGAACTGCTGAGGGTTCCAGGTTGTTGTAAGACTCTGGCCAGGGTTATCCCTTTCTCCCATCACGCAGAGCAAAAAAACAGCTTCCACCCCAGCCCTACCCAGGACCAGCTAAAAAAGTTAAAGACCCTCTGAAACCTGAGCGGAAGGATGCTGACCCCAACCCTGGCACAGGAGGAATGGTACCACAGAGGGCCTCTTTTCTGAACCTAAGTAGCCATTCCCAACAGTCCGAGAGCAAAAGTCCCAAATAATCCCTCCTCAGGTTCAAGCCAGCTATCAAGCACTGGAGAAGAGGCCATCTTTCCCATAATCTTCCCCATAATCCCAAGATTATGGGATCCACCCGCTCTGGATCCTAGGATTAGACCTAAGTTGGTCCTCCAACTTAGCACCAGAGCTATGGAAGCCTCTGTCAACAGAATGTCTCTATCCCCAAGCTCTCCTTCTAGGTCACAGGGAGCCCCACTCCAGGAACTGTAGAAGCTCTTGACCAGACTCTCTGGTCCTAGGGTAAGGCCTCCAGGGAATGAGTGTGCCCACACCAGGAAGGGTGCTGGAATAAAAGGAACAGAACAAGGAATTCTCTTGGCCAATCTGAAGACCCTGTCCTTCTGTTTGGACTCTAAGAGCCAAGAGGAAGGAAGAGGGGGTTTGCATAATGTAACAGGGTCAGGGACCAGAATTTCTAGCCTAGCCTCTAGGACCAAAGGCCAGGTCCCCAGTTTCCTCCCACCCACCCCATCGCTTCACAACCCAATCTTCTGTGGTTTTGGAGGTCCCGTCACCACCATGTTGGGTCCCTCTCACCTGGGATGATGGCCGCCTCCTCATTCTCATCCACCTCTGCCCAGGCCCGCTGGGCTCGACGCTGGGCCTGCAGACGGCTGCCCAGATCCCTTCGGCGCCGGGGCCTGCCCCCAGCTCTTATTTCCTCTGGTTCTAGGGGCCTAGGCTGCGCCCCTCGACCTGCTACTCCTGGCTCCTCTTCATTGTGCAGTGGCTCTTAATCAGCGAGAGGAAAGAGAGGAATCAGAATATTGTCAGGCAGCTGAATCTACTCAATGGCAGTAGAGCAACATTCACTCTACTCAACTTTCTTCAGGCTCCTAAGACCCACAGCTTCTCAGGTGACTGAGACCTCTACAGCCTAGACCTACATCTTGATCCAATGCAGCAAGATCACTCCTTCCCTCCTGCCGGTTTCGTACCTGTCTCTCCTGCAAGGCCCCAGCTTCCTAGCTGGCCTTTCATGAGACTATCACTTGCTAGACATACCTCCTCTCCTCTGATAAGCCAGCCTTGACCTTCCCAACCTCATCTGAATGCCCACTACAGGACTGCATCTTTTTCTTGCCTAACTACATGTGCCATGCTTTTATATGGCACCCAAACCAGAGTGCACATTAGGGGGCTGATTCTCCTCTCTCAGAAATATTTGCTGGCTATCTGTTTCACTTGTCTCCCCTCCCCCCTGGAATCTACAGATGCTGTGAAGGAGCTTGTGAGCCTAGGGAGGACAAAACACACACACAAATCCATATTCCATATGCTAACAATAAATGGTGTCTGTGTGGGTGGGGAGCCATGTGCATCCTTTGTGTGTACCCTCGCTGATCACAGGGCCTTCTGGTCAAAATGCAGAATAGGGAGAACGGCTCATGGGTGCTCTCCTTCTGGGGACCACCCTTTACACTTGAAGGATGTGGGGTGAGCTCATGGGTAGGCAGAAAATACTCAGGTGCACCTTGTTGGCACCAGCTCTAGATCCAGCATAGGTGGGGTGGGAAGCTCCTGTGGTTTCTCCAACGGGCACAGAGCGGGTTAGCCCCAGTGAGTGATGTGAGTCTGTTTGCCAGTGTCTGGCCCTACTGGATGTGGAGGTCTGGAGTGTTAGGAGGCCGGGTAAGGAACATTCGAGGCTCTTTTCAGCGTCCCAGAGAAAGGAAGTTCGCTAACATCCAGTCCATAAGCAGAGTTCTAACATCGCTGCCCCGCCCACTGCGCATGTACGCGCATGCGCGCGGCCAATTTGGCGCTCGGCGAGTGAGGTCTGGAGCCCAGGCCCCAGTCTCCCCGGCGGGCAAGCCAGCGCATGCGCCTGAGCCGCAGCGCGACGGCCTACAAAGGCTGAGGCTAGAAAACGCGACCCCACTGGCCCAAGAGTGGTGGCATCTCCTACCTACTGCCGCCCGGCCCCGGCTACGAGTCAGGAAGAAAATAACGCCAACAAGCAAAACCGCCGCCACCAAGTACACCACGGGGGCCACCATGACGACAGCTTCCGGACGGAACCTCCGCGTCCATCCAAAGGCTCAGGCTCCTCAGGCCCCGCCCAGCGTCCATGTTGCCCCTCCCATTCCCCATTTAGGCTCCGCCCCTAGCTGGGGCCCCGCCCAGGCCACAGACTAGACTGAAGCTTTCAATTTTTACTTTAAGACGAACTGTGGGCGGGGAATAAAAATATCGGCAATGTTGAGTTGAAATTACTGCAAACGGTTATGGGCAATGTGACATTTATGAACATTTTAAAAGCAATAAATAATACCTCGTAATGGTCTGGGAAACAGACATATGGGGGAAAAAATACAAAACGACACTTGGGAAAGGTAAGACAACAACTTGCAGAATAGTGGCTGCCTGTGGGGAAAGAGGAAGACAATGGAATTAAGGGCAGAGCTTACCTTTACCTGTGACATCTGACTTAAAAAAGGAAAAGGGGGAAATACCAAATCTATTTATATTGTGATATACTATTGTACTAAGACCTGTAATTTTATACCTATTTAAAATCAAGTTAACTTTACTCAGTTGTACAAGAATGAGTAATCCAGTTTTCCATAGCATAAGTTAAAAAACGTAGGCGATTTAAAAGTTAGTTAAATTTTCCTTTAACTTTTAAGCTATTTTTTAAATCTGTAAATTATACCTCAAAGTTTAAAAAAAATTGGGGATAAGGATGTAAACTCAGAATATTTAAAAAGAAAGTAACAAGAGCCATTCCTGGTGGTGCAAGGGGTTAAACCACAGCACTATAAAGCAATCCACAGCCACTGTGGCACCAGTTTGACCCCCAAGCTGTGAGTTGACCCACATGGTACAGCAGACCTCTCCTGTCCTGCCTGCTGCTCCCCTCAGAAGTGTATTTCATCCATCTGCTTGTTCTGTTCCCCACTCTGTCTCTGATGAATCCTCTCACCCCCACTCCCCTTGCACCTCTGGCCTATACCCCAGTTCTTGAATGCATAAATAAGTAAATGAATCTTAAAAGAAATAGCAACTACTGGCCATTTCCTGTTATGTAGTATGAAGCTCTGTGTGGACTGGTAAGGTATATAAAGATTGCTGGACCAATGATGGGGGTAAGACTTGAAGTAATAGGGCAACATGTTGATCTCTGGTCAGTTGGAATGTTGGGGACTTGATTATTTTATTATTTTTGTAAGTTTGGAATATTCTATAATTTACATTTTTTAAAATATTTATGCATACAGAACTGGGGTACAGTTCACAGGTGTGTGTGTGTGAGAGAGAGAGAGAGAGAGAGAGGATTCATCAGCGACAGAGTGGGGAGCAGAACATGCAGATCGATGAAGTACACTGCTGAGGGAAGCAGCAGGCAAGACAGAGGTCTGCTGTGCCATGTGGGTCAGCTCCCTGGCTGGTGATCAAACTTTTGCCACAGTGGCTTTGGATCGCTTCATAGTGCTGAGACTTAATCCCTTACACCACCAGGGAGGCCCTATAATTTACATTATAAGTTAAATTTTAAACAAGCAAAAATGCCAACATAGCAAATATTAATCCTCCCTATTTTAAAAGGACAGTTTGTTAGGAAAAAGGAAAGCAGCAGCAACTTGCAGAAACAACTGTCCAGAAAGAGCTGACACTACTGCAAAGGGAAAAGGTTTGTGAAAAGGAACACCTGTGTACTCACAGGCTGACAAGAGCTGCCAAATGTCAGTTATTAAATCTATGTGACAGGTACATTGGAGCTCATCATACTGTTCTTTTTCCTTTTTTATTAAGTGGTAACTTTAGTATAAATAAGCTTTATCAAAAAGTAAAAACTATTTATTATTTGCATGTGCAATTATTTATCTTGAATAGCAAAATCAACAAAATATCAGAAATAACTTTGTTACCTCAAACTGATTATATCATTTCAACAGCTTTTATTTGGTGTGCCCTGATTCTCAGTGTCCTGGCCTTCAAGCATGTTACTTAAGATTTGTGGGCAGGCCCTTCCTGTTGGCACAATGAAGCACTTCGAAGCTGGTTGCAGCTGCTTCAACATGAGTTCAATCCCCGGCCAGGGAGGTGACCCACATGGCACAGCAGACCCCTTCTGTCTCGCCCACAGCTCCCCTCAACAGTGTGCTTCATCAATCTGCCTGTTCTGCTCCTCACTGTCTCTGGTGAATCCTCTCATTGTCCCTGCATCTCTGGCCTGTACCCCAGTTCTGTATGCATAAATAAACAAATCTTTAAAAAAAAAAAAGATTTGTGGGCAGACTGGAAGGGGTGGAAGATGACACAGAGAACAAGTGAGACAGCTGCTGTCCTGATCCAGGTAAGAGTAGGACTAGATTCATGACAGCAGAGGTGGAAAGGAGGCCTGAATTGATAGGCCCCAGCAAGCTCCCTGGATGGCAAGAATCATTCTTTGCTTGACTGAGTTTCTCCCACAATAGGGAAAGCAATTCCAGAGATTTGTCCTTGCTATGGGGGAAGAATACCACCTATTTTAGCTCTGGCACAGTCTGTTTAATGTATGGGTAATCTAACACATGGAATTTTTGGATATTCCTGAGGACAAATTCTTGGGCCTAAGAAAAATCATTGGTATTATTAGAGGACAATAACATTAGTGGCAGCTCTCTGCTGGCCTGTGACTATGCAGGCGTTGCTTTTTCACAAACCTTTCCCCCTTGCAAAGCAGCAGCTTCTATGCTTGTCTGTGCCAGCTGCTGCTTCTCCTTTCCCTTTCCTAGTAAGCCTGTCCTTTTAGAATGGAAAACAATAAACTTTAAACAAAATAACTCATCAGGCACCAAATGGCCTTGACTTCAATACTCCTCTGATGGGAGTTGTCTCACCAGAGGCAGAATCTGTCCTGAATCTACCCTTGCTGTTAATCCTGTTGGGAAAGCCCAAGACTTGCCTTAATGCTCCATCACAAAGCTTCTGAAAAAACAGGTCCTGTGTGAGGATTTGAGTCTCATATTTCTACAACTTCCTCTGAGTTCTCCTTGAATAGTGTTTCTCTACTTTGCTTTTAAAAAAAGTCTTGACTTGTGCCAATTATGTGACAGAGGCAACCTCACCTGGCCTAGGATCTGCTGCTTTCCAATCCTGAATGTTTCATTCCTTGGTTTTAGAAAATATCTAGGGAATTGTTATCAGCTCTTTTCTCATATTTACAGAGCACTATGTGCCAGATATTAGGTGGGATTTAAGCACTCTTACATTTTACTTTATTATTTTTTTAAAGATTTATTTATTTATACATACAGAACAGGGGTACAGGCCAGAGGTGCAGGGCGGTGAGAGGATTCACCAGAGACAGAGTGGGGAGCAGAACAGGTAGATCGAGGAAGTACACTGTTGAGGGGAGTAGTGGGCTGGTCAGGAGAGGTCTGCCGCACCATCTGGATCACCTCTGGGGCAGGCAGGAATCGAACTCATGCTGCAATGGCTTTAGCTTTTTAGTGCTGTGCTCTAACCCACTGAACCACCAGGGAGAGCCCATTTTACTTTATTTTTTAGATTTATTTATGCACATGAGAACTGGGGTACATGCCAGAGGATTCACCAGAGAAAGAGTGGGGAGCAGAACAGGCAGATGTACTGAAATACATGGCTGAGGAGAGCAGAGGACAAGACAGGAGAGGTCTGCTGCACCATGTGGGTCACCTCCCAGGTTGGGGATCGAACTCGTGCTGCAGTGGCTGCACATAGCTTTATAGTGCTGTGCTTTAATCTCTGCCATCAGGGAGGGCCCAGATTTAGGCAGTCTTAAAGGCCAGGTCAAAAAGAGACTTTTTTTCACCATCTTCATTTCTTGAGGAGGAAGCAATAACCACACATGAATATATGTCTGCAGTAGGGCTATTGCTATTCCTCGGAGAGGCTGGTGTATGAGATGGGATAAAAACATAAGGGGGTTAAAGCACAGCACTATGAAACTCTCCGCAGCTACTGCAGCACAAGTTGGCTTTATGGCCAGTGGGGTGATCCAAATGGAACAGCAGACCTTTCCTGACCCACCTGCTGCTGCCCTCAGCAGTGTATTTTAGTAGATCTGCCTGTTCTGTTCCCAATTCTGTCTCTGGTGAATTTTTTACCTCTCCCCAACCTCTGATCTGTACCCCAGATCTTGTATGCATAAATAAAATAAATCTTAAAAAAAAAAAAGAAGAAGACTTAAGGGAAGGCTTCCTTGAAAAGCTAAGGCTTTCGTTGAGAACACAGAAGGTAGGATGGGCTGTTCTCAGGCCTCTCTGGATTTAACTGATATTCTCCAGGCCTTCTTCTGCACCTAAAATCCCACAGCCAAATTCCGATCCCTCTCCATGGATCTGAATTATTGATATTTGGGGACCACACAAAAAGTGGTTCACACATTTGGACGAGCATCAGAAAAGACCTGAGCGGTTGACATGAGCACAAACCACTCCCTTTCAAGTGGCACAGGTGGCCCTTCAAGTCCTGCCCCAGGCTTGAGATGGCAAAACTTCTGGAGGAGGCAGACTGGTGGCCGGCTCAGTGGTGGTGTCAGCAGTGAGTCGAGGCCTCTCTGGGGGCACTTTCTACTCTTTGCTGTGTTCCCGATGTGCAAATCTGGTTGGGATGAGTATGGGGAAAAGACGATGGATTTGACAGGCTGGAAGGATGGGGGAATGCGGAAGTGACTGAGGGTACAAGACTGGGCGATGGGTGAAAAGGACCGCTTACTTTAGGCTCTGCCACGTTTAAGTTCCCGTCCAGTAAATCAGAGCTGGTGGGCAAGGAGTAGCTAAGAGAGAGAGACCTAAGATGAGGAGGGGATAAAGCCCCGCGTTTGGAAGACCTTGCCCAGGAAGAGACAGTGTCCACGGAGAGTGCGAACCGCCCGGGCCTGCAACGCATTACTGGACTCGAAGGAGAGGCGAGTGGGTTCTTGGCTGCTCTCAGTGCCGGGAGAGAAATCGAGGCTGGAATGGTCTCCTCTGGTCCTTGAAGCGAGCGCCCCTCGGGGGGAGCGACGACGCGGAAGCACTCAAATTGCGGCCGCCGCAAGGTGCCAGCAATCCCGGCTCGGGCGGCCGCGCCCGTTGCCTCCTTTCTAGCGCCCGGCGATTCAGGCTGCCCATCCGCTAGGGGAGCGTTAGCCTTCCCCGTGTCCTGAGCGAAGACTCCCGGCGTCCGGAACGCAGCTAGACGACCGCGACCGCCGCTGGCGCGCGACAGCACAGGCGGTGGTCGGCCGGAAGGCCGGAAGGCTGACCACCCACTTCCGCCCCCCGCCGGAAGTGCACTGACGCAAGGCTTAGGGGGTTCCGTTGGGGCTGCGGGGTTCCCGCGGCTCACCATGGCGGCCTCCTTGGCGGGCAAGAGTGTCGTGTTTGTCACGGGGAATGCCAAGAAGCTGGAGGAGGTGCCGAGAGGGTGTGGGAGGCCGATCAGGAGGCGATTGGGGCAGAGAATGGAGGCGGAGAAGGCTCCCCGGCGGGAGGCAGCACTCGGGAGGAGGCGCTGAGGGACCGCGGAGAGACGGCCCTCCCGGGGTGGGCGATTTCTAGTGCTGGGACCGAACGCTCGGTGCGAGGCAGGACGGCCACGTGTGGGTAGTGCGGCGGACTCTGTCTATACAGCGGGGTCCTTAGCAGATCTGACGCAGCTTGTGCGCTTAGGGAGCCTAAGTTGCGGCGGGGTCTTAGCGCCTGTCTCAAAGGTCTCCTGTGCAGCGGAACGCGAACTGGGGTTGATGCGGGAGAGCTGCTTCACAGCCATGGGGAGGAGGCGTGAAGAAGGCAGTGTGCCTCTCGGGATTTCGTGGTTACTTGTGAGGATTCTGGGCTGATAGGGTAACTTGGCTGCCAATGATAAAGACATAGGGAGCTCACGTAATCTCCCAGGTGACTCCTGTGCGAATATAGTGTTAGGTGTCCCACAGGTCTTGAGCAGTCTCTCCAGGGGCTGGTCTGTTCTAGCAGTTCTTGCTCAGGTGTCTATTCCTATTTCTCTTGGGGTTCTTCTGCTTTATACTCTCTTGGTGGGAGGGGCAGTGAGGCCTCTGCCAGATAGCAGCTCTGATTGGTCAAGGGTTTGCCCCTGATCCGTCAGTCATGGGCAAATAGGTGGGGTCCTGTATGAAGAAGGATGACACTCAATGGTTATGCCTGAGGCGGAACAGTGAGGCGTCGTCATTAAGGGACCCTTGTTCACAACCTAAGGACCGATGGCACATCTGATCATGTCATATCAGAAGCCAGAGCTCTATGCTGGTAAATACTGAGACCAGTCAAGGAGACAGGCACTGCTCCCTGAAAGGAGCCCTATGCAGGAAGGTGCGTGCCAGACCCCAAGCTCCTCTCTGCCTCTGATTGGAAAGTGGACCCTTCACATTTGAAGAAGGAACTGGAGCAGGGGGAGGCTCACTGGAGAAGACGCACTTGAACTTGGCCGAGAATTGGGAGTGTTAACTCGTCGTTCTGTAATACCCCGTTTGGCAGGCTGATGCAGCCTATGGACCTTTTCTCAGGAAAGAAAACTTAAGTATATAAAATAAAATAGGACTACAAAATAAATAGGTTTTTTTTTATATTTTTAATTGATGGTGTCCCACAGGGAATCAGTTCTGTTGAAGTATATTCTCAAAATAGTATAATCCCTTGTGATCCAGGTACATGTACTGATTCATTCTGGCAGTGTAATTACCATAATTTTAAAGTAGTGAAGACTGTAAATGGTATTTTGAGATCTGTGCTACAACTGTAAGAGGTTATGACAGTGTCTGATTTTAATAGGTTTAAAGGTCACAGGAAAGGCTAGTGCTATTTTGGTTTGTTTTCATAATAGAGATGATAAGCTTTACTAGAGTTAGTGAAAATAAAGAGCTAATTTTTTTAAGTCCAAGTTTGAAGGCCTTGAATTCTGTGTAATCACTGATAGAGAAATCCTGGTTAGGTAGATCTGGGAGCACTGAGAAGGGAAAAGTGTTTTTGGATGGGGTTTGGGGATGGTGGCATGATCAGAAACCCGAGGGGTTTGATGCAGGGGTGAAATCATGCAAGTTGGGGTGAGGTCCATGGGCCTGACTTAGCTTTGGGGGACTGGCTGGAGAGTTATCTGATGAGAAATGTGGATGATGGCTTGTATAGTAATGGGCAACCTAACAAATGGTGACAAATGTTCTTTCATTGGAACAGGTCATTCAGATTCTAGGAGATAAGTTTCCATGCACTTTGGTGGCACAGAAAATTGACCGTATGTCTCTATTTTGCTTTACTTTTAAAAGATGATGCTATTTCTCGATATCTCAATGATCCGATTCTCTATTTGTTTCCCTGATAAGTGCCGGAGTACCAGGGGGAGCCTGATGAGATTTCCATACAGAAGTGCAAGGAGGCAGCGCGCCAGGTGCTTGCTCAGCATGTGCCCTGTGACTCAGTCCTCTTGTCCTGGTAGCTCCTGGGGCAGTGTCTCCGGGGGTGGGCAGAGAGCTATAGGGTGGGCACAGTTTGTCATGTCAGGGACCTGCCCAGGGATCGTGAGGCTGGGTCAGTTCATGCTGCCTCTGGAATGCTAATACACTGCCTTTCTCAAGACTGCAGAGTATCTCCCCAGACCACCACCATCATCCCCCTACCCCACACAGAAATTTCTCCCCCCACCCGGGTTTTCAGACCCATACTTTCCAGTCCTTACATTCTCTTCAGATACATCCACCCCTCTATTTACACATCCCCGAAGATTAGACAAAGAGCAGTTTATGAAGAGTCAGCTGCTGCTGTAGACTCCAAATAGCTGTGTGTCTGCCCCGATCTTGGGCAGCCTAGGAATTTAGGGCAGGGACAGCATCGGCTTCTGCAACAGGACACAGGGCTACCTATCCTTGTGCTGCAGGTGCAGGGACCTGTACTGGTGGAGGACACCTGTCTGTGCTTCAACGCCCTTGGAGGCCTCCCTGGCCCCTACATGTGAGTGCTCCCCACTCCCTCACAGGGCCCTGACCTGAACCTCCTGAACTTTGAAATGATTGGTTATTTGATACCGCAGATCATTCACTGTCTTGGTATCAACAGTGATATTACAGATTGTCCTGAGGAAGGATTAGGGATGAGGGAGAGGCATGCCTTTTGTAAAGTGTGAGAATGTGATTGTGTAAGGGGAGATGGGCAAGGGGAACCCACCCATTGGAGAGGTATGTTCATGGGCAGATAGATTTCAGGAAAGAGGAAATAAGCAAGTTGAGATCTGATAATGGATTTTCTTAAAATTACCATGGACCCTCAGAAGGTCTTTGTGTGTCTTTAGAGTACAAATAACCCCAGTTTGGATATCCATGCTGGAGTTGGAGGAAATGTGCACAGAAAGGCTATTGCTGGATTTTAGAAATGTGCAGCTTTAACTCGGGAGTTTGTGTGTCAAGGCAGTGGCACCATATACACTTAGAGTGTGCATTGCTCCCGATGCCCACCGACACTGAGTATTAGGACTTTCATATTTTACACTATGGGGAGTGAAATATTATCACATGCAGTTTTAATTTGCATTTCCCTAATTACTGGTATGGTTGAGGCCTTTATGGGTTTATTGATTCTCCTCTGCATTGCCAGTTTACCTCCATTTTCTTATTCCTGTTGGATTATTTCTCTTCATTTTAAATTGGCTGTTGGGGCTGTAATCTGGGTGTGGCACAGCCCACAGAATGTGATAGGAAAATCCATGAGCTCCTAAAATCTGAATTACCTTTGTTTCTCTTGCAGAAAGTGGTTTCTGGAGAAGTTAAAGCCTGAAGGTATTACTCCTTTGTCTCTTCCTTTAGGTCTTGGGATTTGAGAATCTGGGGGAGGGTCCACAACTAGTAATCAACAATCTTAGATTCCAGCTCCCACCATGGAGCCTCAGTTCCCCCATCTGTAACCTACAGTTGACACTTGCCCGACACACTTGACTCCAGGAAGCCTTGAGATGTGGGAGAAGTGGCTAGGTGTTGGATAGTGGGGTGTGAGTTTGAGGGACAAAGGGGTTATAGTTGATTCTGACTGACTCTCTGAGTGGGACTGCTCACCTGTCCTTACCTCAGGCAGGGTCTGACTGAGGCTAGCAGGGTGTCCCTTTTGGGCACCAGCAAAATATCACCCACTAAAATGTTTCTTCTTTAAATGCTTCTAAAAGTACTTTATATTATGGAATAGTTCAGACATGTACAATGGAATGGAATAGTGAATCCCATAATCAAATTACTCAACCTTTTGGGTTATCAGCACAAGGTCCCTCTGGTGACAGGTATAACCCCTTTCTGGTTCCTGGGACAGGGAGGAGGATGGGGGGAGGCTGGACAGTATAGAACCAGTGCTCTCATCCACAGGTCTCTACCAGCTCCTGGCTGGGTTTGAGGACAAGTCAGCCTATGCCCTGTGCACGTTTGCTCTCAGCACTGGGGACCCCAGCCAACCTGTCCGCCTGTTCAGGGGCCGGACTTCGGTGCGTACCTGCGCTCTGCCCCCGCGAGCCACCAGAGGGCGCCGCTACTCAAGCCTGTGACCCAGAGTCTGCTACGGAAGGTGGGGGGAAGGGCGCCCCAGCCTAGAGTTAGTTCCCCGGGCTTTACCCACAAGCGCCCCGGGGCACCTCAGTTAGAAGTGACGTCAATCCAGAAATCTTTTTCACTCCTGAGGCTGGTGTTTCGGGGAAACGCGTAATAGCTAGCAGCTGTTGAGGACTGGTACCGCCAGGGCTCTGAGCTGTTACCTGCTGAGAAGCAGAAGTGGAAACTGAAGGTGACCAGGCCCCCAGTCACATTTACTGCCCAGCTCCTCCAAGCTCAGGTCTCTGTCCTGCTGCTGAGACTACAGCTTCCTTGAATAGCTCATGGCCTAGCCAACTGGTTTATTGAGGATCTTACTTGCCCCCACCTCGTTCCTCCTCAGCTGCCCTTCAGAAACCCTCCCACATCCACATATCAGGCCTTTGGTTCTGTTGCTTTTCACGAGTCCAAACCACCCTCTGGACTGGCCTGTCGGAAGAACCCACAGCTCGAGCTTTCTCCTTGTGACGTGTGTGCCTCCTGGCACATTATCTCCTGATTAGCCAGATCTTCTCAGGATAAAATCCAGAGTCCTGGACCTCAGAGGCTGCACCAGGAGCTGGCCACAGATGTTTCCTGTCACCCTGCCTGGCTAGATATTTTTGTAGTAGTATAAACACAACATAAAAATTACCATCTTTCTCACTTTTAGCGTGCAGTACAGAAGCGTTAAATACATGTGTGCTGTTGTGCTACAGACCTCTGGATGTTCTCATTTTAAAAGACTGAAACTACCCAGTGAATCACCCCCAGCGCTGCTCCCCACACCCACTATCTTACTTTCTGCATCTAAGTGTTAGGCCCTACTGGCCACCTCCTGTAGGGAGGTGCATTTGGTTCATTCCACCTTATGTAATGTCTTCAAGTTTTACTTAGGTTGTAGCAGAATTTCCTTTCTTAAAACAGAATAGTCTTCCGTCATGTGTATACTACATTTCTTTTATCCGGCTATCTGTTGATAAACATTTTGGCTATTGTGAACAGTGCTGCTGTGGATGTGGGTGTGCAAATATGTGTTTAAGATTTTGTTTTTAGTTCTTGGAGTTACACACCCAGAAGTGGGGTTACTAGGTCATATTGCCTAGTTAATTTTTAAAAATTAGTTAGGGCTGTTGCTACTTCACAAAAATGTTACCTCATAAATCTGAAGCTGGAATAACCACAGTCCCAACTTCCTGAATGGTAGCTGACAGGTCACTGAAGTCCCCACCATTCCCAGTTTTCTCCCCAACTTTGGCTGTTTTGTGCATTGTTCCTTGAGAGCCCCCACTTTACTGAGGTGGCCTTGTTCCATGTTCTGTTCTCACTTGTGCTGTAAGCCCTAACCACATTGTCCTTTCAGCAACAAATATGCCAAAGCGCTTCTGTCTTAGAGCCTGGGCCAACCACGTCCTCCATCTGGAATTTGCTTTTTTCTTTTTTTTTAATTTATGCATATAAAAACTGGGGTACAGGCCAGAGGTGTGGGGGGAGGGCTGAGAGGATTCATCAGAGACAGAGTGGGGAGAAGAACAGGCTGATCTATTGAAATACACTATTGAGGGGAACAGCGGGTGAGACAGGAGGGGTCTGCTGCATCATGTGGGTCACCCCCCTGGTGGGGGATGGAACTCATGGCTGCAGTGGCTGTGGATTTCTTGATAGTGCTGAGACTTAACCCCCTGCGCCACTAGGGAGGCCCCTCCCTGGAATTTTCTTTATGTGACTAAAGTGTCCCTTCACTGAGACCCTTCCTGAGCTCCCACATAAGTCATCCCACCTGTTATTCTTGAGCCCAGCTCCTTTTGCTCCCTTTGAGGTACTCTGCATTTGGTAATCATTCATTTGTTTACCAGTATAGTGCCTGTTTTGCTTAAGAAGTCCATTCTGGGAGGGGAAGGCTGGATGTGCTGGGGCCAGTGCTGAGAGCACTACCTGCCCCAAGTGTTCAAATTTGTTGTGTGGGTGAGGTTCAGAGTGGTTCAGTAATGGCCTCAGTCCTACCTCTTCCCAATAGTAGGATCATTTGTCTTTGATCTGAATTTACTATGTGTGTGGCTAATCTCCATCCTCTGCTATTTCTCTTGAATTTTTTATAATTAAAAAAAAAAGATTTATTTTTACTTATATATACAGAAACTCAGCAAATCCTCTCACCACTCCTGCACCTCTGGCCTGTACTTCAGTTCTGTATACAGAACTGGGATAAATAAATCTTTAGAAAACTATGTATTTTAAGTAAATAAGTGTAATCAGATAAACTAACTAAACTAATTGCCTGCATCTCCCCCACACCTATGACATACCTGTCCCTGTTTCCTTTGGCAGGGCCAGATCGTGGCACCCCGAGGCTGCCGGGACTTTGGCTGGGACCCCTGCTTCCAGCCTGATGGATACGAGCAGACGTAAGGAGCCTCAATTTCTTCAGGGGTGTGGAGTCGGGAGAGCAATGGTTTGGGTTGGGTTAACACCCCACCCAAAGGCAGGCACGCGGATGTGGGTGGTGCCGGCTCTGAGGGTGCTGTTCCAGCTGAAGGCAGCTCAGCTGGGGTGATGCTAGGAATGTGAGTGGCCCAGTCTATGGAAGGAGGTGGTCAGGTGCAGCTGGGAGTCCTAGGCTCTCCGCTTCAGCTCACCCCAAGCCACTGCGACTTCAGCAGCTTCCCCTCTGGCCTCAGCTGACAGCAGATGACCTTCTAAAACCACATTCTGGGTTGGAGAAATGTTAACACTTTGGCAGCCTTTGGTGGGCACCACGTTGGCCTCCCACCCTGCTGCCTGCATGTTCTCAGTATTTCACTCTTCATTAAACAGGACATGTTGCCCATTATTTGAATCAGGCATTCCAAGCTGGAGGGGCCTTTCCTGAGCCTGGCCTGAGGCTTTTTATTGCCCAGATTAGACTGAGGTCAATGAAGCAGCTCCATCCAAGAATGCCTTTTGGTGATACCAATATTCTGCTGCACTGTCCATGCCTTTTGGTGATACCAATATTCTGCTGCACTGTCCAGTTTGGTAACAATTCTCCTTACGTGGCTGTGCAGCATCTGAAATGCAGTTAGGGCCACTGAGGAACTGAAATTCTTTCTACTCAGTTGTAGTTGATTTACATGTAAATAGTTACACATTGGGCAGTGTTTGCCTGCAGGCCAGGCTGGGTGTGAGGTTCTCACCTCACTGGCGTCCTGGTGTAGAGGAAGGCCACCACAGCCTGTCTCGCCACCCCCCTTCCTGCCCCACTCACCCCCCCCAACAGTGCATCAGAGGAGACTGTGTTTGTTCTGTCAGGCCCCACTGCTTCCTGTCAACAGAGGACAAAGCTGATCAAACATGCAGCTCATCCCCTGTCCCCGGCTTCCTTAGCGCCTCTGGACACACCAGACAAGTTTAATGTCCTGCTGTGCTCATTAATATGGATCTGTACCTGCAGGGGAATTTAACACTGATTTTTAAAACATTAACTCTGGCTACCGGGAGTTGGTGACCCCTGCTGCCCTCTGCCGGGCACCCCTTTGGATTCTGGATGGGCGGGAACACCCCCTGTACCTGGGCTCTCTGAGCGCTTTTCTTGTTGCTGCCCCTTAGGTATGCAGAGATGCCCAAGGCTGAGAAGAACACCATCTCCCATCGTTTCCGGGCCTTGCACGAGCTGCAGAAATACTTCAGCAGCCTCACTCCTGCTGGGGCAGGTGATGACCACTGTGGCCCAGGATCCTGAACCCCCTGGCCCCCAGCAGACAGACGTGCTTCGGGGCTGCCGCTTCCTGGGGGTGAGGCCAGCCCTTTCTGGAGGAGCAGCTGGCTCTGCTTGGAGAAATGTAGGACAAGAGACATCATTCTCTTGGGGATTCAGTGGTTTTTCCCACAGCCTCCGGGCCTGGGACCCTGAAAAGACCTGGGGTATTAAACTAGCCCTGGGAGCACTAAGGGTTTGGGGAAGAACCACACAACAGCCTGAGTGATTTTACAGTGCAGCAAATAAAGCTGGGAAGGTGCTTGCTTCCAGAATAAATGGGGTATTTCTGCACTGAAACCTGACCAGGCAGGTGTCTCCTGAGTCCCCTCCTGGAAGCCTGTCGAGTGGGCTGGTGCCAGGGCCAGGGCCAGGGCAGCACTGAGTCGTGGGTGTTCGCATCTTTCGTTTGACCTTCCACACGCAGATCCTGGGCTGGCCCCTTCATGCCACTTCCCTGCTGCCCACCCACCCTATGATTGGTGCCACCACCTGACTGGCCTACATGGTTTTTGCTGGGGGAGGGGGGGTGCTGTGCAGCAGCGAATGCTCTAGCTTTATCATACATTAGAGCAGCTAGAATGTTGGTTTGTGGTTTTGATGCCAAGTTCATTGTTGTGGAGGGAAGGGATGGAGTCCCTGGCCCCCGCTGTGTGGATGTCATGGCTCACCCTAGGGCCTGCAGCCCCCTCAGGAGGCCCGGCTCAGTGGCCCCAGACCCTCACATCTCCTGGTGAAGCCATCCCCTGGAAGAGACTGGGGGACCCAGGCCAGCTCGTCTTTCCTGCAGATGTTTCTCTGGTAAGGAGGTGCCCAACTCCTTTCAGAAAAGCCTGTGTGTGCAGCACGTTGGTGATTGGGAGGGGATATCCGCAGTGCTGAGTTACTCCCAGGCAGCTCTGGAAAAGGGCGGCGTGGCCCAGGTTGGACTGGACAGTTGTTTCCCCTTCAGCTGCATCAGTGCTGTGGGCAAGCGGAAAGTCAGTCCTTTGACCCTGTTTGCGTGTGAGGCACAGCCAAGGTGTTTCCCCAGGAAGTGTGGGTGGTGGGCCCAGTCTCCCAGGTTCTTGGTGGTGGGTGCTGCCTGCTTCTTGCCTGGCAATTCAGAACAGAACCCTACCTGCGGGGAACACCCAGGCCGCTGGGGAAGGGTCCCAAAGTAAAACAGTACCTGGGTGGGGCAGGGCTGCACCACCCACCTTAGAGCTACCCTGGGCACACAAGCACACTTTGCCCCACCCTTTTAAACTGGCTACCCACCCCACAAACAGCACTGCGGAGAAGCTGCTGGTACCCACCCGCAGCTGCCCAGGGGCAGCCGCTTTGTTGGAGGGCATCTGGATTGCACCCCAGTCTCCCACTCTGACATCACCATTCCTTTACCTGGCAGTCTGTGGGTGGAGGCCCTTCTCCCCGGCCTGCCTTTCTCAGGTTACCAGGAATTTGAGCCTCCTGCCATTCCTATCAGTATTTTGGGCTCCCATCCCCCCCCCCCACACACACACACACAGCCCTGTGCCTCTTTGGAGTTACCTTCTTTCTGTTGGCTTGCAGAAATTCTATTTTAGCCACTTGTCCCTTTTCAGAGACCTGTAGGTGACATGATGGGGTGTCTGAGCCAGGTGCTCTGTCGCTAGTACTATTGCTCCTATGTGTGCACAGGGCTGGCTCCCCTGAGCCTCAGATCTGCCTGCTGCCAGTGCCGTGGAGCCTGGCCAAGCACCCAGTTTCCAAGCCTGAAACATGGTACCTTCTCCCCTCCATCAAACCAGCCCCCATATCTTGCCTCTGGGCCCCATCCCCACTCCCTTCCATCCCGCAGGCACCCCCACTGCCACGTGTAGGGTGCAGCCCTGCATGGGAAGCCTCAGGCCTGCTGTGGACAGGGTGACTGAGCTGCTCTGTCCCGGACTCGGCTTTCACTGGCAGCCAGACTACTCCCTCATGCTCACTGCCACCCACCAGCTGTAGCTCTTCCCTGCCCAGCCTCACACGCACTTCCCCTGCAGGCGTCTGGCAGCAGGCCTAGATCTTCCACCTTCCCACTTTGGGCTGACATCCCACACTCAACAAATACCCATCCCTTTGATTCTGCTCCCCCAGAAAGGGATTCCCCTCCCCAGGGTCCTCTGGTGAGCTTCCAGGGCATGGGACAGGCAGCCAGCTGCACAGACAGGAGTGGAGAGACAGGAGCTTTATTCTCTAATGTGCATACCACCGAGTTCCTTACACAATCAAGGAAATGGCTTCTCTCTCAGGCATCTCTTTTATCAAAAGAAAATCCGTCCTGTTTAGTCCCACCCTGGGCAGAAGCTGCCCTGAGCAGTGTTCTTAACCTAAAGCCAGGGGAGAGGGCTGGACACACGACCTAACCCCCACAATGCCCAGATGCCCTAGGCCTATCAGGAGCTGTGAAGGGGCACAGCACAGAGCAACGCCCCAAAGGCAATCACACCTCCCCACATCGTCACATGCCAGCCTGGGTGGGCCCTGACAGGCAGGTGGCCAGGGGATGGCCAGGGCCTGCCAGTCAGGGTCTCAGTGCTCAGCGTCCATGGCGTCCAAGAATTTGGCTTCAATGATTCGGGGCAGCAGGTTGTAGCTAGGATAGAGGGAACAGGAGGGCCCAGGTGAGTGCTGGGCAGAGAAGACAGAAAGGAAACCCCCACCCCTGGTCCACCCTCCCTTCCCCCAGCGGCCCATCTGCCTCAGTACCGGATGGGGATCATGGCAATCATGATGAGGGGAAAGATCATCTTCATGTAGGGCAGGCTGCTTACGCCAAAGGCACAGAGCAGCAGCAGCTGCAGGATCTGCAGGCCTGTGAAGTAGTGGATCTTCCTCTGGGGTACGTGCCGGATGTAGTGGGTGGGAGGGTACGAAGTCTGCAGACAGCAGGGACCACGTGTGGGCAGGTCTGCGCCCCCTCAGCCCACACCCCTCACGGTCAAGGCCAGACCTCACCTGCTCCTTGAGGAGCAGGGCCATGCGCTCGAAGAGCTGGTTGCCGTCGATGGAGGTAAAGGCGATGTACAGGAAGAGGCCGTAGAGCACCGGCTTGGGGATCCACTGCAGTGGGAAGGGCAGCAGCAGGAGGGAGAAGCCCACCAGGATGCTGGCGCCCAGGGTGGTCAGCCGCGTCTCCTTCACGCTCACTATCCTGCGTAGTCCCGGAGGGCGGGTCACAGGGCGCCATGTCCTCCCTGGGCCCCATGTAGCACAGGGCTGCCCACACCTCGGGCCACGTGACTTGCCCGGGCACACTCACGTCTCATAAATGTGCCCATTCTCCACTCGCTCCTCCACCAGCGCCAGCAGCCGCACGTGCAGCGGGGAGTGGGGGTAGGCCGCGTGGATCCAGGGCAGCCCGAACAGAGACAGCCCCGTGTTGATGATGGCGATGAGCAGGAGGTCCCAGTGGTAGGCGGTGCCCTTCACCAGCCTGCACAGATGGGCACATATGGACAGGGCCCGGCGGCCCCTGGGGGTTGGGCACACCCCTCCCCACCGAGCCCTGCAAACCTGTTCTCTGGCGCATTAGCCAAGCCAGCCACCAGGTTCTGCTCGATGAAGAAGAGCAAAGAGAGCAGGAAGCCGAGGCCCATGGCCCCGCCGATGGCCTCCAGGGACAGCGAGTGCATCTGGGCCATCTCAAACAGGCTCTTGCTGGGGTTGTAGCGGAACTTGCTCACTGCCGGAGGGTACAGCCCCCTGCTCAAGCCTGCAGCCCCCAGGGAATGACAGCTCTCACCCCTCCCTCCAGCCCGGCGGACTCACTCTTAATTTCCCGGAAGCCATAGGAGCAGATGAGGGAGAAGAGGAGCACCGAGATGGGCAGGGCGCAGTCTGACAGGATCTCACGCATATAGGGGTGCAGGTAGGGGCTGGGACACAGGTCGGTGTATCAGCGTAGCCAGGCGGTTCGGGAGCCCTGCCCCTCACCCCCTGGGCTCCCCTCACCTCTTCTTGAACTGGTAGAGCGTGTAGCCCAGCCACAGTGTGCCCAGCATGATGAAGAGGCTGAGCACGGCGGTCTCTCGGCCTGCGTTCTCAGGATGGCTGCCCGCTGACGTCAGCTCCATCGGGCTGGCCAGGAGGCTGGTGTTGAGGGCAGTGTGGAGGCTGGTGTTGAGGCCCAGCAGGCTGACCAGGGAAGTGCTTTCTGCATGGTAGTTCCCAGTGTTAGGGCCATAGTAGTACTTCTGGAAGACTGTGGATACAGGCCAACAGGCCTTAGCCCTCTAGGCTGTGCAAGGCTAGGCCCAGCTTCCTCCAGTGGGGTGGGGGCCTGGCCTCTGGTAGCCAGGACCCCGTCAACCTGTCCGTCCCGCCCACCATTCCCACACACCGACGTCATCCATGTGGCTCTATGTGACATCCTGCCTGGCCCACTGCCTGAGCGGACCTGCCGCCCTACGGTACACGGAGCTGCTGCCCTGCGCCAGTCATGACTCCCCAGGATGCCCTGATTCCTGGGGCGCTTCAGCTTGAATACCTCTTGGCCCCCTGTCTTGGCTCAGCTGCCCCTACAGCAGGTGGCCAACAGCTGTACACTCACTTTTGACCATGCCCTTGACAGCATCCAGCACGAATGTGATGGAAATAAACAGGGCAATGATCTCCTCCGTCGACCTGCCAGGGAGTGATATGTTTCATAAGATGGGGGTGGTTTGTCCTCAGGGGCACAGGGAGTCCCCTCAGCCTCCGCGTGGCTTCCTTCTGCCACAGAGAGGGGCTGGGTTGCAGTTTTACCCGAGGGTAGTGATTTGGTGGGACACCCCACTGTAGGGCTACAGGGTTGAGGAGGCTGGCCCAGATCCCTGCCTTGGTTTCCCTGCTATTTGAGGGTGCCAGCAGCAAAGGGAAGGCGGCCCTGTCACCTCTTGAAGAGACTCATGACCAGGCTGAGGTTGAAGAGGGCATAAAGCGTGAGAAAGAAACTGTTCCACAGGCCCGTCCACGCGTAGAAGGAGTTGAAGTCCAGGTGGTAGTCGTCACAGATGCCCCGGATCACTGCGGGCACAGGGGCGGGTGGGCAGTGAGGCCCCGCTGGGCCAGGAACCTCGGGAGCCATCTCCCCGCCTCAGCCGCCGCACCTTGGATGTAGAGGGCCAGGGGGGCGGTCGTCAGCAGCACCACCAGCGGCTGCCCGGAGAAGAGAGCGTACAAGAGGCCTCCGATGCTCTGCCCGGCTATGGTCTTCTGCACATCTGAGAGGAGGGACGGTCAGGGGGCACGCGACTGGGGGCCCTGCCCAGGCCCACCCCTGCCGTCACTGTCCCTCACCGATGGCCCCGTTAGTGTTCTCATCATTGAGGGACCCAAAAGCGATCGTGGGCAGGAGGCAGGCGAAGTAGAGGAACAGGGTGGTGGTGATGTATTTGCCCACACTCTTGTTCTTCCCGATGATGCCTAGGGATGGGCACAGGAGGGTGGGCTTGTTAGACGGGGGACAGGCAGGGCCCAAGGCACAGGCTGGCCTCTCCGGATGGGCCTCAGGGCTACGCACCATCAGTGAAGTCCAGCGGGTACACAGGGAGCCTGCGGGCAATGTCCTCCCGGATGCCCTTCCCCACGGGAAGAAAGTCCTTGTGCTGCGGCGGCTGTGAGGACAGTGCCAGTGAGCCCCACCGCTGCGCCCCTCACTGGCCGCCCAGGCCCACCTCTCCCGTGTACCTGAAGGGGTCTTTGCACGCAGCTGGAGGTCACACTGGGTCCCGTCACCGGACCCTGGCTCGCCCGGGAGAGCAGGTGTCTCTGGTGTACCAGGGCCTCCTTGAATTCCTCCTCCGTGCGGGTTGTCAGGAGCTTCTGGCGGAAGGTGATGTCCAAAAACATGGTGGCGAATGTGCGCCCCACTTCTGACGCAGTCTTGGTGCTTTTCTGGGGATGAGAGTCACCTCTGCCATCCCTGCAGTGTGGGGCACCCCTGCCCTGCCCTTGCCATTCCCAAGCACGGAGCAAGCGTGGTGCCAATGAACTGGCAGGAGGGTGTGTCCCCCAAGTCCGAGCTGAGTGTGACCCCAAATGCAAGCCTGAGCAGACCCTGTCAGGACTGCCGCCAGGTCGGCAGGCCACTCAAACCTCCGTCCACCTAGCATATTTCAGACTCCTGAGTTTCATCATCTCAGGGCTTACTCTTGTTGAAGGAACACGAGTCTGCCACCGTGGGCGGGCAGTCACGGGATGGGCAAGGCTTTATCTGGCTTGCAGGGGCTTCCAGTCGCCCAGGACTTGTCCCTCTTCCCTGGCCAGCGTCAACCCTGCCCATGAACTCACCGTCCAACCACCCCCTTGGCAACCTTTCTCACCCCCCACAACCTGTGGCATGGGCCCCGCCCGTCTAACACACCCACCACCCTCTTGTGCCCCGTCCCTAGGCATCGTCGGGAAGCACAAGAGTGTGGGCAAATACATCTGAGCTGCACCTGCGCTTCACACTGTGATGTGCTAAGAGAAGGTCTGAAAAGTCCTCACGGATAGGAAGACCTGGGAGCTATGTGTCATGGCGGGTATTAACTGGACTTACTGCGGTCATTTCACAAAACACCCCAGTACTGAATTATCATGTGGTACACCTGAAACTAATACAATGTCATATGCCAGTATACCTCCAGTTAAAACAAACAAACAAATAAAAAAGCCAGAAGGAAGTGCAACCTTTTAGGCATTTCCTGGGGAAACTGGGACCTGCCAGGAGCCTAGCAAGCTCACCTGAGAGGCGGCCTGGCAGAGCAGGAGGAGGTGAGAATGGGGGGGGACTTCCGAGGACAGCTCTGGGGCCCACACATGGGGAAGGTGAGCCAAGGAGAGGACAGGGTAACCTGAACCCTCCTCCCCAGGAACAGAAGCAGCCCCCGCCCCTGCTCACCATCTTCGGCGGGGTGAGCACCAGGATGACGAACCGCACCTCGCAGGAATTCTCCCCCCAGTTCTGCGGGCGGACCAGGCGGCTGATGCACACATGCCGCTTCACCAGGGCCTTGGAGGTACAGCTGCAGGGCGGGGGCACACACGGCACACAGCTGAGGGGCTCCCCCACCCGAGCCCACGGCTTGGACAACAGAACCCTCGACAGAGACCTCCGAGAGGACGACCAAAAGCCATGTGCTGGGGGAGTGCTCACCCCTCCCCCCGAAACTGGGGGTGAGTCAGCCTCTGCTGGGACACAGGCCACCTGACTCCAATGTGCCATGTGGGGGGCTGCAACTCACGTGATGCACAGCCACGACTGCTGGTATTGCACCCCTGTGACCGTGGCGGTGACCCCTTGGATGGTTTCCGACAGCAGGTGGACTGAGGGCAGAGTGGAAGGGGTCGGGGGTCAGCGGCCCCCTCCCCCACCTTCCCAGCCATGGGGCAGGGAGACAGGCCTTACCTTTACTGCCCATGGGGGTCCCGGCGTCGGTGAAGAGGATGGCCATGAGCAGGTCCAGGTTCCAGTTGGGCTCGGTGTTGTGGGGGTCATGGGCTAAGCGGTGCAGCATGGCCCGCAGCACGTCGTCCAGCAAGGTGGCCGTCTCGTTCAGGATGATGCTGGCCCGGGCCAGGAAGCCATCTAGGTCACGGTGCGCCCGGATCTCTTCCTCGAAGTTCTTCAGCTTCAGGTACTGCGGGGACCCCATGGGCAGGACCAGGACAGAAGACCCACTGTCACAGCCTGGGCCCCTCCTCCATGGTAGCCCCAGCCCCGCTGCCAGAGGGAGGCTCGGCTGGCATCACAGCTCTCCCAGGAAGCAGCCACTGCTACCCCAACGGGCGGCTGGACCAACGCCCCGCCCAGGTGCGGCCGCTCACCTTTCGGGAGGTGTGTAGGAGCCCGCAGCCGCCGGCAGATTCACTGTCAGCTACAGAAAAGTGGGAGCGCTCAGGGCCCACCCCTGCAGGTCTCTCTCGGCAGAGTGAGGCCTTATCTGCCCGGTGCCCCGCCCTCCGCCCAGGGCTTGCTGCAACCAACATACCCTGGGTGGGTGGCACCTCCAGGTTGACGTTGACAAAAAAACGGATGCTCTCCGCAGACACGATGGAGGAGTTGACCGTGTCGAAGACCTCATCGCCCAGGCTCTCGCGCGTCTCAGAGTTATCGTCAGTGTCGCACTTGAAGTAGCCTAGACATCCCACCGCCACCGCCAGGAGAGACCCGAGACCAAGGGGGCTTGCTGCCAGTGACACTCCGCAGGGAGACTCCAAACCCAAGAAGCAGGGCCCCTGGAATGGGCCACTTGGCACTCCGAGTGGTGAGGGGGGCCAGGAGGGAAGGCCCCCCAGCAAGCAGGCTGATTGTGAGTTCTAGCCCAGCCAGCACTCTTCAGCTGTAGGAACCAGGGCCCTCACTGTTCTGGCCCTTGCGCACCTTCAGTTACCTTCTACTCACAAGCTTTGGGCCAGCACATAGTGCAACGACCGTAAGACTGCCTGGTCCCTGCCATCCACAGCCCCCCAGTTACAGGGTCCACACCGGGCCCCTCCCTGTCCTGCTGCCACAGGGCTTTAGGGCATCTCTTCACAGGGGTGCTGGGGATGGCGAAAAGACCCAGGAGGTGTCAGACAAGGCCCAAGAAGTAGGAGAGCCAAAAAATAGAGCCAGGGGTTGACAGGGGATAGGACCAGAGAGGGAGGCATCATCTCTGGCTTCTATCCATGTTGGCTGAAGGGGGTGTCATGGTGCCTTGGGGAGTCCTGAGCACAGAGCCTGCTGCCCTTTGTCTGTCCTCTAGTTCCAGCACCTCCCTCAGGACACAGGTCTCTCCAATGGGAAGGCTTCCTAGTCACCTGCAAACATTCCAATCTTCTCTGAGCCTTGCCGGTCCTTCCCTGTGGCAGGATCTTCAAAGCCTACTACTCCTGCTCCCTGGAGCCTCCTCCCATGCCCCACCTGGATCTCTCATTCCTCAGGCCTATCAGGCATGCCAGTTCCTGACCTCTGAGCTGAGGACTTCCTCCAGGAAGTCCTCGTAGGGTCCTGCCTCACTCTGTCTAGCCAGCACCTCTTCGTAACTGTCCTGTGGGTCTGCTATTCACCACCTGGGTACTCCCCAGGAAAGGGGGTCCAGATCTCACCAATGTCCAACAAACACCTGTGCAGGGACAGGGAGGGTCACAACACACTTCCACCTGCCAGGCAGTGACTCGCCCTGACTCACTTCCACAGCTGTCCGCCAATCTCCTCTACATATCCAGGCCCTGCCCCCCACCCCCGCCCGGCCAGGGCCTGTCCTCAGCCAGGCCCCCTTCTTGGCAGGAGGCACTAAGCCCCTGCTACCAAGACCCCCTCAGCCCAAGTCCAGAGAAGAGCTATTTAGGTCAAAAGATTTCGTTGCCACTTCAATCATCCACTTTGATCATCGTCTACAAGACTCCCCTCATCCCAGGTGCAGGCCTGCTCTGCTAAAATTGCCTGCCTCCTTTGTCACCCCTGCCTGTACCCACTATTCCCCAGCACTGCCCCCCACACTGCTCCTTTTTGTCACCCTAGGCTCTGCCTGGTCAATTGCCCAGCTGACACTACCACGTCCCCACAAACGTTCCTGGATGCCACACCTAGCACGCCCTGGCGACTGAATCAGAGCACGTCGTTAACTGTGTTGGAGCGCTGACCCACTAAACTCCCGCAGGTGAGCAGGCCATTTCTGGGGCCAAGATACAGGACGGGAGGCTTGGAGTGGGGTTGGGGGCTCGCCCGGTGCACACAGGGAGAGCTGCAGCACAGAGGTCATGAAGAGGCACAGCAGCAGACTCCTCCTCCCGACACAGGGTCAAAGGCCAGAACTGAGGGATGTGGGCAGACCCAGTACTTGGCCGAAGCCCACTGAGCTAACCAGGGCATCATGATGGCGAACCATAGGAGATCACCAGGCGGAAAGGGAGCGGCTGCCCCCCAGGACTGCAGACTTGCCAGTGTCCAGGACAGGGCCAACTGCCCCTCTGCCCAAAGCCTCCTGCAGGGGAGGCTCCAGAGGCAATTGCATGGGCAGAGGACCAGACAGGGCAATGCAGGGGACCCAGGCGGATGGGCCCATTCCCAGACGTTTGGTCAAGGAGTTCTCTTCTCTACAGACACCCACTCTGAGAGGTACTGACCTGTATCCTCCAGGAATCTATTCTGCGACATGATGGGAGACTGTTCTGCAAGGGAAGCCAAAGAACCGTCACCAGCTCCGTGACTCGTCCTCCAGTTTCCAGGTGTCCCTCTGCTTCCCCACCTAAAAGCCCCACTGCTTCCTTCTTACCCACCCCAGGGACCTCACCCCGGCCACGCTGGGAAGAAAAACGCAGGGGCGGTTCTAGGGAAGTCTCCCTTAAGAAGCCAGGGGAAGCCTGCTTGTTGCTCCTCAGTGCATCTGGTAGGTGTCGCCCAGGTGGAGAGAAGGAGGATTTTCTCAGCTTGTTTCCTGTGGGAGTTAATAACAGCACCCTGAAAAATTCTGCAGGATTTCCTGACTAGAACTCAGCTACGGAGCCTGAGGAAAGACTCTAACCAGGTGAGGTGGCAATCTTTTCTCACCCTGTACAGGCAACCTCCCTCTCTCCAGCCTCAGGCTCTGGGCTCTGGCTTGCTTTCTTCCTGCCAAGTCCAGGTCCTGGCTGGAGCCTCTTCCCAACACCTTGCTCCTTGCTCTCAGGCTGGTCCTCAGGCCATTCACACCCATCACGCGTGCATTCACCCCCAGTCTCAAGAGCCAGGGTCCCAGGGGGACAGATTCCACAACTGCCTCCTCCCCTGGGCCTCCTGGGAGGCGGCTGGGAGGCTGCGTGGTTGGTCCACCAGGGAGAAGTGGGTGGGCCCCGATGGCTGGGCCGAGGAAGGAAAACACAGGAGGGGCCGCGTGCAGGAGAGGAAAGCACCTCCTGGCTCCGCGAACTTGGGGGGGACCGGTGGGGGGAATAGAAGACGTAGCCCATGAGTGCGGCAGGATCCAGGGCGGCACCCAGAAGGGAGGGTCGCGGCAGTAAAGCTGGCAACCGAGGTCGCAGAGGACGCAAGGCTAGGGCAGCGAGGGCTTGGAAGGGCGGGACGGTGCGCACCCTACCCCCATCCCGGGCTTGCCGCGTGCAGGTAAACGGTCTTACAAGCCCCAACCTGGCCCTCAGGTGTCAGTCGTAAAGAAGAGACTGCTGCGGCCGCATGGAGCGAGTCAACACCCGAGGTCTCCTACACGTGGACAAGTTCCCCTTCAGGGCCGGGGACCAGAGGGCATCCCGGCAGAAGGTCAAAATCGGTTTTCCAAGGCGGCAGCGGGCGCCCGGGGTGGGGAGACCCGGCAGCTCTGCCCCGCCCACTTTCAAGCTCCGCACCTCATTTTTTTCAAAAACTCGATTATTTCAGGTCCGCGAGAGCAGAGTATTTACCCAGCGGGCAAAGCCCACGAAGCCGTCCCAGGCCCTACACCATCACCCGCGATCCCACCGGACTCGCGCCCCTTGGCTCCCCTCGGTCCCAAGAAGGAACCCCCTCGGGCCTCTCGCCCCTCTCCCGCCCCGCCGCCGGGCGCCTGCACGCCCGAGGCTGCGCCCCGACGGCCTTCCCGCTCGCCCGCGGGCTCCCGCCCCCACCGCACCGCGGGGGATGCACCGTGCGCCTGAGGCTGCTGCCATGACGCGGCGAGGGGCCGCGGGACCACGGCACACAAGGCGCTCACCCCCGGTCCCTCACCCCGAGCTCTGGAACCCCCAACTCGGATGCGGGCGCCCGAGGCGTGAGTCGGCGACACACCCCCGCGCCCGCCTGGGTCCTAAAGCCACCCAGACGCCCGCCCCGCCTTGCGAGCGAGTCGCTGAGGGTGGGGTCCCGCCCGCCGGCCCCGCGCTCACCCGCGCTCGGGTCAACCCCCGGCGGGCTGCTCCTGCGCGCCCGCGGCGACTCGGCCGGACTGTAGACGCGGCGTCCTCGGGGCTGCGCGCCCGCCCAGGCGTCGCCGGGCTGGAGGCTGGGCGGGGTGGGGAAGCTTCTGGGAAGAAGGGCCGTGGGCGCACGGACCCACGCAGCCGTGCCACCGCCGCCGGTCGGGGGAAGGCGCCCTGGCGTCGGCTTTAAGCGCGCTGTGGGTCCCGCCCCCTCCCCCGGCGGGACCCAGCCCACCGCTGCCCCGCCCCGCCACCCCTTCCGATTGTTCCGGCGGCGAGCCCTCCTCCGCCGCCTCCTCCAGGAAGCACGCCCCGACTAACTAGACGGGCCGGCGCGCGTTCGAGCACCGAGGCTACGCCCTGGCGCGCGGAGCCGGGAGCCCTCCCACTTCGGCGGCGTCGGGTTTGCTTGCTGCGCGCCGCACAGTTTGTCTCGAGGCTTCGTCGCACCTTCGCCTTCTTTTGGAACAAGGTCTTGGCTCTCGGTTTCCTTCCTTTCAAGATGGCTCCGAAGCGGGGCGCTGAGGTCGAGTCTTCACCGGCGCCTCGTCATCTTCGAGTCGAGCGTGTGTGTGTTGTGTACGCGGCGATTACCTCTGTGGGAAGGCGGTGGTGCTCGCGGGTCGGCGCGCGCGCTGAGATCGGTTTCGACAAATTCTGTGCTAGTGACTTCCCGCAAGTAACTCTGAACTCCTCCCGCGCCCAAAATGTAACCCCTGCACCCCCTCCACACTGGCAACAGGAAGGCTTGGAAAAGGATGAGCGGGACAAGTGGAGTTAGATGAGCCCACCTGGGTAAACTCAAAAGAACTCCTACTGCTTTGGGGGAACCCCAAGCCCTGATCCAGCACTCGGCTGCGCACACTTCCCCTTCCAGCAAGACAAGAGCTCATTCGTAGGGAAGTGGAGGGGTCTCCCCCTCGGCAGGTGAACAGCCTTGGGGACTGCAGAGCTCCTTGCTCCCTGTTAATTTCCAACAAATAACTGGGGGTTGGAGGTATGCTTTCGTGGAGGGAGGGGGGCAAGCAGGGCTTAGAGAAGAGATGGGGTTATCCAGGCACCCCTTCCATTCTGCTCTTGGACCTTTTTTTTTTTTTTTTTAAAGATTTACAGGAGAGTTTTGCTGCGCCACGTGGATCAGCTCCTTGGCCAGGATCAAACTCAGGCCATAAGTGTGATAGCAGGATAGTGCTGAGATTTAAGCCCTAAGCCACCAGGGACATCCTCTAGCTAGACACATGGCCTGGACAGACTCCCTCAATCACTAGGATAGGAGGGAAGTCAAAGCTGGAAGGGGAATGGGAGCACCCTCTTGGCCCACTCCCAGCCTGCTCCACCTGGGAACTGCTAGCTAGGCCTCTGCATCTGTCCCTCCTCCCCCACCTCATGTCACCAGCAGCTCCCAAGCATTCGAACCTTCTTAACCAGCTGGATGGGAGGGACAGCACCTCACCACTTGGCTTACTGAGAAAACTGGAGCCTGCAGCCACATCTCAGGGATCTATGGATCTGCCTCCCAGAGGCACTGACACTGTGACCTACTCTCTGCTTCCTTGGCTTCGCTGCATTTGCTCACAGGGGTGAGCCGCTGATGCCCCACGCCCCTGCTGCAATGTGAGAGGCTGATTCCACCACTGTTCCCCCCACCACTTCCCCTCTGTGGCTCAGAGGCTGAGGGAAAACACAGGTACTAGGATTCCCTCCTGTGTTCTGCTGTGTGGTCATAAAGATGGGCGGTTTGAGGGTTTGAGGACCCACCCGTCAGTGTGCACTTCCGCTCGCCTTTCCTCGCTGGGGGCTCTGACTTTACTGAGAGCACAAAGCCATGGGCTCTAAGTTCCAAAAGGAATTTCACAGCTTTCCAAAGTCCTTTCACCTCCATTTCCCCCTAATCCCCTGATGCCAGTAGATTTTAGAAGCTGGAGTGAGGAGTCACTATACAGTATTTCACTAAAAATAAAAAACACTCCCTTGAATGAACTTCCCCCTCATTCCTCTGCTATCCTTCAGAGTCACTCTTGAAAGCATTTTCTCTCCTCTGTTCTGGAGCCTCTTCCGTTCTCAGGCTCAGCTTTTGTCTCCATGGCTCCACCAAAACCGCTCTTGGTCAAGGCCACCCTGCCTCGGCCCTTTTGCCAGCTCTCAGCCAGCACCACCATTCCCTCTTTTATTCCTGTAACCTTTGCTCAATCCTGAGTGAGGACTTGTCACCTGTTACTGTTCCTTATTTGTGGAAACCCCATGTCCATGTCAGCTTGAACCAGGCTGTGGGCGGGGTTCAGCTGTCCATTAGGCCAAGTCCCTGATGCTCAGGGTGACCAGTCATCAGGCCAGTCTCCTCTTGACTTCAACATGCATTTGGACAGCTTCCACCCTGACTACTTTTCCCCTTCTACCTTTTGCTTTTGATGCAAGGAAGCCCAGTATGAGATCGGTGAGTCTGGTGAGACTAAGGGAGGGAATGTGGCCTCCACTCTCTCCTGGGGGACATTTCCAGACCCCATAGGTAGGCAGAGAGAAAGACGCTTTGGTGTCAACTTAACAAAGCATCAAGTTCTCTACCAGCCGCCTTGAGAAGACCCGAGCTCTTTTAGGTGCAGCCAGGAGGGCAAGAAGCCCAGTGGAGGGGTCCAAGGACCTGTGCCCCTCAGGATGACATCCCTCTCTGTCTCTGTCCAGAACCCCGTCAGAATCCAGCATTGGGGCCTCCCTGGTGGTGCAAGGGGCTACGTGGCAGCACTATGGAGCTACCCACAGCCCCTGCAGCATGGGTTGGATCCCTGACCAGGGAGCTGACCCCCATGGCTCAGGAGACCTTTCCTGTCTTGCCCTCTGCTTCCCTCAGCAGTGTGTTTCAGTCGACTTGGCCTGTTCTGCTCTTGTCTCTAGTGAATCCTCTCACCAGCTCCCCACGCCCACATCTCTGGCCTGTACCCCAGCTCTTGTATTCTTGTATGCATAAATAAATCTAAAAAAAAAAAAAAAAACAGAATCCGGCATTGGACTGAAGTCTGGGGCCGTTGCTCTTGGCTCACTGGTTCTATGTGGCCAATAGATTGTCAGCAGGAAGGTTCTGGGCTGCTCTGTTCATGTCAAGCCCTTATGCTCTCTGACCTGAACCTGGCAAGGAGACACCAGCAAACATGGGCTGACTTTTGTCCTCCTGGGGCTGTAAGAGCCACTCACCACTCTGCTGTGTGCCCGTGGTGATGCCAGAGGGCTTCCCCAAGAGGGATGCTCCCAGGCAGACACCCATCATCCCCACCCTCCTAGAAGCTTGCTGAAAGCAGAACCCTAGAGGACCTAGGGGCCCTCACAGAGTAAGCTCAGAATCTGTATTCCCAGAAAACTCCCCAGGGCATCAGGGCTGGCTCTAAGCTGCCCCACCCTCCTCTACTCCCAGGCATGTAAATCCCATGACAGTCACCTAAGGCCTTCTGGCTAGCGACCCTAAGGGTCCAGGCAGTCTGTCTCCTTCCCGGCTATCCTTGCTCTCCTTGGTGGTCTTATGCCCCATGTCCTCCATCCCTATCTCTCCTTCTCATTGTCCCCAGGGTCAAGGAGCTACCTTGGGTCTTGCCTCAGGGTCACCTTTCAGGAGTGACACAGCCTGTGGCTATGTCAGCCCTCCCTCGGGCTCCAGGTAGGGCAAGTTTGAGGCAGGCACAAGGCAACACCCTTAGGCAAGACCTCCAGTTCCATTGGGGTCTCTCCTCATTTTTATCTATAAAACAAAGAAATCAAGTCTTCTAAGCTAGAAAATTCCATGAATTTTTGGTTATCAAACCATCTTTCCTCTTCCTGTTGTCCTTATTCTGCTATTATTTGTACAATCACCCAGGCATGAAATTTCAGAGTGATGTAAAGTTTCTTAAAAATTTGAAGAATAAATTTGAAGCAATAAAGAAACTTCTTTATTGGAATGAGAAAAGGAGTAGTGACTGTGGGATAAAATTGAAGTACATTCGTACTTTATTTGGTTAGCATTTCAATTTTTACAGATTTAAAGCCACTTATTAGTTTGCCATAAAATTGATTAATCCTGATGCAAGTTTTTTAACCAAATTATTTTAGCTGGTCAATTTAGCAATGCAGAGGCCTGGAGGAAAACAGGAATTATTTGTGGCTAAACAAATTTATTTTTCTTCAAATTTTTAGAGAATGAAACAAACAAAAAATGCTTTTGGAATTGTTTCAAATGTTGGGTTTTTTTCCACGTTGGCTTTTTCCACTTCCACCTTGAGGTCAGCCCCTTCGCTCCTCTCTAGTTAGTCATTTGGTCTTGCTAACTGTTCCTTCACAGCCATTCTACAGTTGTTCTCCTTGTCTCTCCTCCAATGCAAAGCAGCACTGCACCCCCACAGGACAGTCTGCGTGATCTTGCTTTTGCTTAGACAATAAAAGGATTCTCAAGCGGCTTCGGGAATGCTGATATCCCAGCGTGCCAGAGGCTCTCCAGCGAGTAAGGGGGACACTCTCAGTCTGCAGGGGGAAATGATCTTGGCGGACAGGATGTTTTCGACTTAAAAGTACTTCTTCCTTTGGTTAAAAATCACTATACCACAACAGAAAAAGTGCTTGCTATATCACTATCGTAGAAAGCAAAAACAAAATGAAAAAATCAAGAAGGTGTCTGTAACAAAAGCTCAAACGGGAACCAGTCAGGGGTGTGTGTAATATGCTCCCAGGGGAGCAAGCCACCTTGGGGGACCCAGCTCCTCAATGAACCTGCTGTTGGGGACCCTTAGAAGTACAGTGGCCTTGGCTAGGCCAGGCAGACCACTGCCCCTGCTCCTGTTGCGGGCTCCTGTGGGCACAGGCCCCTTCCCACAGAGAACTGAAAGGTTTAAGACTCAAAGATCACCCAGCCCAGGCAGCAATTCTTGCCAGTCATCCCCAAACCCTCAGTTTCCCGGAACTGCAAGAAGTTAATACCTGGCCAGCAGGACGGGAGGCAGGAGGCTGGGAAAGAGGTTGGAGGTGGGGGCTTCCAGCTGCCAACCCTCAGATCCAGCTCTGCTCCTCCCCTGGCGTGGTGTTGCCTTTGGTTTGTACATTGCTAACTGATTTCATAGAACCTCCAAACCCAAGACCACCATCCCCACCACCCGAGAGAGGGTGCCTGTGGAAGCTGCACCCTCCTCCCTGGGCCGGCTCCCACATCTTCCCAGTGGGGTACTTCCCTTGTCTGGAGGCACTCTGCTGAGCCTGGGACAGGAAGTGGGGTCTCTAAGAACTCACAGGCCTTATTTGGTCCCCCTCCCTATTCTGCCCCTTCCCCTAGCGCCAGGGGTCCTTCTCCCAGCAACGGTGGGGAAGGTAAGCAGCTGCCCCGCCTACCCACCAGCCCGCCCGCCCGCAGGCAGTCCGAGGATGCAGCGGATGCCACTTGCGGCAGGAACTGAGCCCGCCAGGCTAGGGCAGTCCCGAACCACTGGCTTGCCGGGTGAATGAAGTCTGCACAGTTCCTAGGGAGCTCTGGGGCTCGCCTGACCTCACCCTAGGAGTGCATGCAAGAGCCTGGTGGGGGCTATGGAGGGAGGTTTCGGAACCAGGCTGGTAGGGGGACTTACTGGACCCGTGGTGCCCTGGTTGTCCCCCATTTGTAAGCAGGGCGAGTGGCCATCTCACAGAGCTGTCTCCTGGGTTACAAGGGCTGACCAGCCTGTAAAGCAATGGTTGACATCTCAGCCTGGCCTCAAACCCACAGGGGAGCCCTGAAGTCTAGTACCTGGGTGAGGGGCAGCTTCGCTCAGGGACGTGTGGTATAAGGGTGGGTTTTTCTCTGTGTGTGTGGGGGTCTACTCCCCCCTCCCCAGTCCTCTGTCCCTGTCTCCCCAGCAAATCATATGGGGCTTACTCAAGCATCTCCTTGGGCGCCTCAGGGACCCTCAGAGTGCCCAGCGCCAACTCAGGGTGATTTCCAGTTAATTTTATTCTTCAAAGACTGCTCCAGAGCCAGGGGAGGGGAGTGAGAGCCCCAAGGACCCTTCGACAGCAGGGCCTGTGGAAGGTATCCCCAGAGGCAGAGTCCCTGAGGCCATCCTCACCAAGCCTGCCTGGGAGAGCTCTACAGGGCAGGTAAGGAGCAGGCCCTGCTGATTCAGTGATAGTTTATTATTGGTCCTTAGCATTACAATTCCGTTACCAAGGTAAATTAACACACAACTGCAGGTAAAAACATGTAAAACAATATAAAAATAAATTGAAAGCTACTTTTATATATTTACTGAATTAAGTAGTGTAATAAATACTATAATAAGCAAAAAGCTTCAATCACACAATTCAGTTTCACTGAAGTTACAGTAGTGTTTGTACATGTTTTAAAATTTTAAGTTACAAATATTAAAGCACTGAAAAACTATTATAAAAGTGAATTTTGGCACGTAAGTGAGCTCTTATGTCATTAGTAGTTGACAACCTGGGACAATAAGGAAGCCATTTCTCACCTACTTTTTGAGGTAAACTATCCAACTAGGTCAGCAACAAAGCTGAAATACTTAATATACTTTGTTTACAATCTTTGAGTTTAACATTTCCCTTTTGAGAAGCTCAAAGAGCAACCCAGAGCTTATTACTGTGCAAAAATTCTCCAAAATCCTTATCAAATTTAGGAGGGAATTTTTCTTTGACCTGTAGGACCCAGGTCAGAGTCCCCAGGGCTCCGAGGGGCCAACTAGACTTTTTTTGCCTGTGACCCCTTTTTTTCCAACTTCTGCCTCCTTCCAATTAAAAAAAGAAAAATCCCACGTCAAAACGTAAAAGAACCCATAACTTCAGCGACTTCAACACTATCACACTCATCCTGGGTGATATAAAACTGAAGCTGCTAACAGGAAAGTCGGCAAAAAGCACGTGAGCCCCTGGAGGACTTCTGCCCTTCCCTGGGAACCTTCACCTGTGTCGTTGCAGGGCCTGGTACATCCACTCTTAAGGTCAAATCTAAGCGTCTCATGGCCCTTCCCCTGGAGACGGCCAGAAACCCCCTCCACCGGGAGCGCCCACTGGAGGAATCACGTGGATGGTCTTCGGGGGCAGAAGCCAGAGGCCCTCAGGTTCCGGAAGGGGCGGTGCCAGGGAGGAGGAGGCATCCTCCTGGCCTCAGTCCTCAAAGAGCCAACACTGCACACGGTTAGTGTGTGTGCCTCACCAGGGCATGCGTGCCCTGAGGAATGCCCTTTCGCCAATGTGCCCCTCTCACGCCCCTGTGCAGGCTGAGGAGCACCTGTGGAGGCCTCAGCCAGTTTTGCCTTTTTGGCTTTGAAACTTCCTAACGTTTTGACTTTTTTCAATCACAGTTTCATATTCAAGTTGAGGTAATCACAGTTTTCCCTCTGAGAGGAGAGGAATTAGGACCGTGGGGCAAGTTGGTGAAAGAGCATTTCTATGAAAAAAACGATCAGAAACCAAGACCACCACGTAGTACACAGCCCCACGCAGTGGGAAAAGACCCGCTTTACGGGTGGGCTCCGACCCCCCTTTAAAAACTCTTGTGCAGCAGCCAGGAAGTGGCTCCAGCATTCATTGAAAACTTCACAGCGACCTGGAGGACACAGCCTAGTTTCCCCTGCCCCCACCCCACCCCCCCTTTTCTAAGGCTGCTCAAGTTTGAGTTTTTAAAAAGAGCTCGGTAGAGCTAAAGGCGGCTACAGTAACTCATTGCTTATTTAATCAATTGCACTTAAGACCTATGTTACTGATTCCGAAGCAGAGACAGGTGCTGCGGACTCAGCCTCTGGCCAGCCAGAAGCGAGGGGCAACCAGACTTGGGCGCCGCAGCTGGGCCCTTGTCACCAGCACGCTGGGCTGGTGGACGCTGGGCTGGAGCACACGGGCCTCTCGGAAGCCTTTCTTCATGCAAGAGTTCTTTTTCAATGGTATTAAGAGTTTTGTTCATTTGGCTTCAAACAACTGTTTTCTAATACAAGTACGTTTTGCCAACAAGCCCTCCCCTCCTCTCTGCTACTTGCATGCAGGCCTCTGCACGACCAGGCACACGCTCTATGTGTGCTCCATTCTTCCTGTCTGTCCTCTGCACCTGGGGCCTTTCTCAAACACCCCTTTACATTACTAGAAACGCTGCTGGTTTTGCCTATGTGCTTTTTCCTAAGGCATGCAAAAAATATGTGAAATTCAGAAAGCATTTACAATCTAGGCAGCTAAGGCGCTAAAGTCCTAACAGACATCACTTAAAGATCAGTACTTGCGACCTCCTCTCCCACTAATTTTGGAGATCAAGCACGGGACACACTTCTGCTTTATGGCCCCATTGAATACAAAGCCCCTGGAAGGAATTCTAATTTGGATATTGGAATTCTTCGGTATTTCTGGTCCTCAGCAGCCAAACGAGCCCATGACCAAGAACAATGCCTGAGGGGCGTGCATTTCCTCAAGCGTGTCTGGAAACCAAGCTGTCCCTGGCTAGGCTGAAGGGAGGGTTGAGAGCTAGAGACTGAACCCCCTTCCAGGAACCTTTAAGCAAGCACAGCCTGGGCCCGCAGGCCTTCCTCAACTGCAGGCAGGCAGAGCACTGCGGAGGCCGGAGCAGCAGGTCTGCACTTGCCCCTGCATCGGGCAAACCAGCAAGCTGTCACTAGGGAGCTCAAACCCAACCCCAAAGGGGACTGCTTAGAGCAATTCAAAATCCATACTCTTTTGGAAAACAAGCCTTCCCTCAGTTTAGTCTGTGAGGAAAATGGTCTCATTTTAGAAGCAGCTGTTGATCTCAGCCCAAGCTGCTGGCTCAGTGGCTGGGGCTTGTGTTGCTCCCCCTCAGGCTGCAGGGGTCAGCTCCTTAAAGGAAGGGGCCTGAGCAGGGAGGCAGGGAGGCAGGGACTTCACTAGGAGCCCTCTCCTGGGGCAGAGTCTGAGGTGTGAGGCCTGTGGTGGCCTTGCTACCCAAGGGAAGCTACAGTTTGTGCTGCCCCTGCACCCTGCAGCTCATTTGTGCAATCCAATTGTGTCTCCCTTCACACAGTGCCTCAAAAGCCCGGGGATGCTGACACCAGAGACCCAGAGGTCCTGGTCTGTCAGCACAGACAGGACAGTCATCTCCCTGATGTCCTTCCCCACCCCCCACCCCACCCCCGAAGCGGTGCAGGTGATGTTCTCAGCGCTGGATAGAGAATAAAGACAACATGCACTCAAATCAGCACACAAAGGCCAAGGAGAACAAATGGTTCCTCCAGGAGACTGGGGTCAAGAAACCATCCTGTCCCCCGCCAGGTGGCCGCTCTGCAGTCTTCCTCTAGGGCCTCTGCTCAAAGAGGTCGTGATACTCCTGCTGCTCCAGCTCCCGATTGTATTTCTCGATTTCGCGGTTGGCTTCTTCCACGTAGTCGTTCATGAACTGGTCCATGACTGCCATCTCATTTAGGAAGACAGCATTGAGCCTTGAGGCAAGGGGGATTGTCCAGGACCTGTGGGCTGCAGGTGGAGGGACACTGAGTGTCCAGTCCACACAGGGCACCTGACAGGCAGTGACAGGACATGTTGACAGGCTACGACATAACTGGAACTGACACACCCCTTCCTGAGCAACCAGAGGTGAGCCCCTCCTCTTCCACGAGCACACAGCATCACCCCAATCCATCTTTTCAGGGCCAGTCTCTAATCCAAAATTATGACACAATGACCGCGGAATCCAAGGTGCTACCATAGCTGCAACTACACTGCAACTCTGCAGCATCGGCGGCAGCCGCAGCAGCAACCCTCTGCCACCGTGACTATGAGGTGAGACACTTTCTTTTGCCTTTTCCTAATAAATCTTTTAAAAATGTTTTTTAAAAATAAATTGCAACTCACAGAGTAACATCAGAAATCACTAAATGAAGGAGATATCTGATTTTAATGACTTTAAGAGGCCACAGTGAAAGGTCTGCCTCTCTTTGACTTCCTGTGTGTTCCCAGAACCCGGCCTGTTCTGGAGGTTCACACACCCTCATATTCAAAGGATACGTGGGTGAAAATCAGTCTTGTCACCAAAGAAGTTGACAAACTGGGTGCCATTGTAAAAGTAGCCTGCAGGTAGCGGGTCCAGGTGGCGTTTAACCTGTATGGAAAAGGAGTCCTATGAAGAGTTATCTACCAATTTTCTATCATCACTTATTCATTAGAAACAAATAAACAAGTCCATTGCCTTAGTCAGACAGTCCCACTTTGCCCAGTGAAAGGCTACATGTACCAGGGAATTAACACCTCCCTGTCAGCAGCCCTCAAGCAATGATTGATGGAGGTTCTCCACCTCCCCAGGAGGAAGTCAGGAGTTCCTAATGGGATTAAGCTCCAGTTGCCACAGTGGTACTGGTTTGATAACACACCCTTTGCTGGCTGTCTCCCCTTCGCTTCTCTCTTACTTTCCCACTCCCCTAGAATCCTCTAGAATCACTTCCAAAATAAACTCCTGCACGCAAATCCCTATTCAAGGTATTCAAGGTTTGTTTCTGGAAACACACACCATTAGGGTTATCTTCTGAGGTGCCCATGATACCCCCCAGGAACACCCTGTATATGCTTCTCAAGTCCAAAGCAGGTGCTCCCTGAGTCTTGGAATCCTGTCCCACCTGCTTATCCCTAGGACTGACTGGCAGAGCCTCTGCTGGGGCCGGGCCTTCTGTGTCCCTTTTAGCCTTTGCCCCAAAATCTGTCAGGACAAGTTCCCAGTGGGTTTTTTTTTTTTTTGAAGGGCTCACCAAGGGGTTTCTTGTCCTGCCTCAGGATTTCCTCACTGCCCATTAGCAGTTTCTGGATTGAGACAAGTTTTTACTGGGCTCTCATTGGGTTAACTGGTTTATCTAGGAATAGAGGAATGGGGAGCAAAAAGGACTTTGCATTTAACTTGCTTGTGTGAACAGAGTGGCAAAGCAGGGCTTTGTGTCAACAGTTCCTCCCACAGGCAATGGCTTCTCCTTGATTTCACACCCAGGTCACACCGGAGGCCACTCCACCCTCTTTCTCAGTGAGGCTGCAAGGTCAGATGCACTGTGGTTTTTCTTTACTCAGCTTTCCTCTGTGGCTTGAGAGAAAGCAAAGCCTCCAGCATGCCCTACAATTGTACCCCAAAAGGTGGGAGCTGTGTGAGCTCAGAGGGACAGCCGAGGTGCCCAGAGGGCTTAGGCCCTGGTGCAGAGCACTCACGTGGATATTCCTGATCTCCTGCTGGGTCAGCATCCCCCTGGTCTTCAGGGCTTTCCGCTGAGGCTTCTGTGCAGAGACATAAGGAGGAGTCAGGTCCCAACAGAGCAGATGATATGCACAACACGGGGCGGGCTCAGGGCTAAGGGCCAATTACATGGTGAGGATCGCAGTGAGAGGAAGCACAAATGCTGTCATGGCCTGGACAAAATATCCTGCCTGTGCACCTTTTGTGAAGACCACCTTCCATCACAGAGCCTTGCATGCATGTTTGCTGATACTTTTGTTTCTTAAGGTAATACATTCAAAGATTCACTTATGAATGTATTCAGTATTTGTTAAACATCTGTTTTTTATTTGTATATATATATTAGGTGTAGTACCCATAGAATTTCCACCATCAATTCACAAGCTTCATTACCTTGTGCTCTTCCCACCCTCGTTCTTTGCCAATTCTTAACCGTAAGTGCTACCAGTGACAAATAAGCAGGCAAAGGGACAACCAGAGGTTCCACAGAGAAGTGCCACCCAGGTGACCATGCAGGAGATTACTCTGTTTAAGAAAGACACGACGGGCGGCCTGTTCCCCGTATGAAAGACAGGACGCAATTGAGTATCTACAAGGGGCTAGACACCATCTAACTATTTTAGTGTTCTGGGATAAGCTTTCAACCCTTGACACTATGCTAATATCCAAAACTTGGAGCAGATTAGAGAGATTTAACTCCTGTCTACTTTCAGTTTCTTTGTGGTCTTGGGCTAAAGATGTTTGTGTGAGACGCCTCTCCCCCAGTTCCTGTCTCCAGTTCTCCATGCTTGCGCGTCTTGGTTTACAAATAGCTCTAAGCATGTGTTTCCTTTCTAGAGAGAGAACTCAAGTACAGGAAAGTCTGGGCTCAGAACATTGGAAAGTCTGAATTAGGATCAGTTAGGAAAAGACATTTTAAGTTTTAAACACCAGATGACCAGGATGACCACAACTGTGTCTCTCCTAGGTTCTAGGCATCCACTCAATAACTCTAGTCTGCCTTGGGAATAGAACTGGAAATGGCTATTAAAACAAACAGGCTTCGTGGCCCTCCCTGGTAGCGCAGCGGGTTAGAGCACAGCACCAAGAAGCTTAAGCCACTTCCACATGAGTTCAATCCCCTCCTACCCCGGAGGAGATCCACATGGAGCGGCAGACCTCTCCTGACCCGCCCGCTGCTCCCCTCAGCAGTATACTGCCTCGATATGCCTGTTCTGCTCCCCGCTCTGTTTCTGGTGAATCCTCTCACCCTCCACATCTCTGGCCTGTACCCCAGTTCTGTATAAATAAATAAATGAATCTTAAAAAACAAAAACAAAAACCAAACAGGCCTCAAATAGACTGCCTCCCCTTCTCAAGTATCCCTGGAAGGACTGGCCAACCCCATGAGGGGCAGACTAGTGGGGATGTAGCAGGGAAGCAGTGGGGGGCTTCCGCCACAGGACCCTCAGCATTGCCCAGGTGTGCTGGTCACATCTGTGCCAGGTCTACTTTAGCTTCAAAAGCTACCTGCTTAGCTGACTGACGCAGCCAGTCCTTGACACTTTCTTCCTTCAGGGAGCAGCCAATGAACACAAGGTAGCACTCCTGCTGTCCACTGCTGTCTTGAGGTGTACTTCTGGAATCAGGTGGTGGAGTGGGTCCCTCCAAAACCGGAACGATGCTCAAGGAGTTGGCCAGAGTGTTGTGGCAGACCTCCATGGTCCTCTCTGAGTCTGCAGGAGAACATGTTATACGTAAGGTCCTGACCCAAAAGGGTAAGGCCATACTAAGACGGCACCAGTGCAGATGGCAGGGGATGAACTCACGAGACACATGCGGGTCAAAGACTAACGTGCCTGGCAGCAGGCTGGAGAGGACAGGGTAAGAAAGGGAGAGCGATGTCCATTTCTAATCCAGAAGGTGACTGCAGATGGATATCTAGGAGCTAGAGGGCCGGCCATCAGGGGAAGTAGGCTAGACCCTTCACTGCAGGGCAGAAGAACCTGGAGAAAGGTGCGTCTCTGGCAGAGAGAGGGGAATGCAAGAGCCCAATGGTGTGAGGTCCAAAGGGGCGGATTTTTGAGAGCCTGAGAAGCATCTGTTGTCTGCAGGGCACCCATGGAGGCTATGCACGCTCATCATGAGATGTCAGCACTCCACAGTGTCGGGCTCACCAATACAACCCCCAGTTACCTGAAAACTTCACTTTGCCCAGGATGTGATAGATGTTCCCAGAGAAAGGACTTGGCTTGATGGAGGACTGAATTGCTGGTGGAGAAAGAACAAAGGGCTGTCACCTACCTGGGGGCAGAGGCCAAGTTAAGGGCAGTACAGCTACTAAGAAATGGGGAAGAGGCCTTACTTAGGGTCCAGAGTTCACAGGTTCTATTTCCTTCAGCAGTTTCTCCCCAGTGGCTCTGCCACTGTCCCCAGAAGATAGAGAAACTTTCAATCTGGAGAAATCAAACCGTGTGGCCACCCAAGATCCGGGTAGGGGTCTTCTGGGTCCTTAAATACCCCTGCCTGCTTTCAGGCTAAAGAAACAGCACACAGAACTAAACTAAACTGGGGCAGGAGGCAGAGACCACTCTGGAGCACTCTTTACCAGTCTATTTACTCTCCTGTGATATGTTCCAGTTGAGGAAGTACCTTTACACTTGGCCACAAAGCGGTTCTTCTCCAAGGGACGACCAAACCACACGCAGATCTGAACCATTAGTGGAAAGACGGATCCTGCATCAAATTTACCTTCAAACCTTAAGAGAAATAAAACATGTTAAGTACAAGTAACTGGGCCGTGGAGTGTTATTATATAGACAATTTTGGATTGAACTAAACATACCAGTGTTGCTTTAATTCTCTCTTAATTGTATGCCATTTTAGGTCCAAAATGCTTATTGAGAAGTGGTAAGGGAGATTGGGAAGAAACATGTTTGCCCCATTGGAACAGGGTTTTCTAAGGATGCAGGTCTTAGCTCCTGCATGGAGTCAGAGACCTCATGTATCTTTCAAGCCTGAGACTGGGGTACACTTCCTGGTATCCAGGGAATCTTTACTCAGGATCCCCTTTTGCTGCCTTCAGGGTTCTAACTATTTCCTACCATCTTGGTGACATCAGGCCAGAGTGTATCTTTGGATGTATACTCTTTCTCCACAAGGAACTGATGTGTTGGGACGTCTATTTTCTCTTATTAAGTAATAAAAAATTGTGTTTACTTAGAAACATTCAGAATTTCAACAAAACAGCTGCAGCTTTTTTTTTTTTTTTCAATTACAGCATGGCCTTCACTAAACAGAACAATTATTTCCTATAAGCTACATCAGAGGCACTGAGGCGCCTCTCCCCGCCAGACAGAACTCGTATGTGTGGTGCACCAACACAAGGAACATGCTTCGCATTCCCCTCTACTGAACCAGGCCAGGCCAGTGGCTACTGAAAAATACACCAGGCTACAGCCATATAAGCACACACTCCGTGGTGTTTTAAACAAACAAACAAAAAAGATACTGTATAGTTTAAAAACAAATCTCATTTTTTGTTCTTTAAAAGGAGCGAGCTGTGTACAGGGTGTTAAAGCTTTATAGGCAAGGGGCAGAAATGCACTAGGACCAAAGCAACAATTCATCATCATTATCTTCTTCATCTTCCTCCTCTTTCTTATTTTCAGCCTAGATGACTCCTTTTTTGGCCCTGACAAACTTCCCTTTAGCTCAGCAAGCAGCAAAATCCTTTTTGTAATTTTCCTTCAGCTTAGCTGCCTCCTTCTCCAGTGGCTGCTTGTCATCTGCGGCAGTGTCAGTTTCAGTTTCTTTGCAACATCACCACATGGACAGGCCAGGAGGTTCTTTGGTTTTATTAATTTTTTTTTCCATACTCAGAGCAAAACAAGACAAGGGCAATGGAGGCCTCTTGGGAGCAACGAGATCCTTGAACTTCCCTTTTTGTTTCCCTTTGGGGGAGGGGGGTACATGTTTTCCTTTCTCTTTCCTAATGGACCTTGCCCACCTTTGCCATGTCATCAAACTTTCCTTTCTCCTTAGCAGACGTGGCTCTCTACTTGGGCACTTTTTTTTTTTTTTAAAGATTTACTTATTTATGTATAAGAACTGGGGTGCAGGCCAGAGGGGTAGGGGTGGGAAGATTTGCCAGAGAACAGAGCAGAACAGGCCATCTACTGAGATACACTGCTGAGGGAGCAGCAGGAGAGACAGGAGATGTCTGCTGTGCCATGTGGGTCCGCTCCTGGCCTTGAAATCATACTGGTGCTGCAGACAGCTTCATCGTGCTGTACTTTTTAACCCCCTGTGCCACCACATAGGGCCCTACATGAGCACTTCTTATAGAACTGAGATGTTGAGTGAAACATTTAGGCATTGTTTCTTATGCTCTTCTTAGCAAAACAGCACTAAAACAAATCTGATGACATTTTGCCTCTCAGAGTCTGAGTGTTACAGGGTAGCCCAGAGTGGAACTGGGATGCTTGTCTGTGGGTCCTCACCCACGTGCTTAAAATGTAATTTTCTTCTGCAGACACACAAAAAAGGGTAGTGGGTTTACAAACAAAAGAGGGGAAAGGAAAAGGAACAACCCAGGGAAAGAGAGAGGGATACAAAGTAACTGGAATAACCAGCTCCACTAACTAGGAGCTCTAGCAACAAAAAACTAACTGCTAGCCCCCAGTCACAGTCTGAGAGCTGTTGCTCCAGAGACAGCTGTTACCTCTCCAGAGTGACAGTTAAAAAACCACTCTCTATTTGTCCCCCAAAGTCCCAGAATGCCTGCTTAGCTCTGCCCTTGGGTCCTCGCAGTTGTCTCCCTGGTACTGCTGGGAGTTGCAGTTTCCAATCACTGGAGTAGGGGGTGGAGTCCAGAAAGCTGGAGTAGGGGGTGGGGTCCACAAGACTGCAGAGTTCCTTTAGGACATCCTTCCCCTTAACCTTAGGATCTCCTTGGCCCATTTTTAATTATTTCTCCTCAGCAAGATACAGTGCTTCCCAGTGCCTGGTGGCTCTGTGTGTCTCTTTAGAGCTCAATGTCCTGAAATGGCTGTCTTGTTTTTTTTCAACTCTGAGTTATGCTTGCCACAGACTCATTGAAAACACAACCATATTTGGAACATTTAAAAAATTAACTACTTTTTATGGAAACTTTCAAATATGCAAAGGTAGTAGAGGACAGTATAATGAACTCCCATTACCAAGCTTCCAAAATTATGGTATTGTCCTTCTTTCTTCCGAGTTACACTTCCTTGAGATGAATGCCTAAGAAGAGGGTATAACCAGCGCATGGGTAGTAACTTACACGAGTCCCACTAGTAGATGAGTATACCAGCTTTACAACGTTCCCCCAGTAATGAAAACAAATATATATTTGGAAGTGTAAGAGCTGTTTGTCAAAAATAGCAGGGAGGCACTGTTCGATGTTTCTGAATATTAGCGACAGGAATTCTGTTGCCATGGTTGCCATTTACATACCGAAGTCCACTGTCCACATCTATGGGGACTAATTTATTCTTCTTTAGTATCTAAACAAGCTTCCAAGTATATTAATCCTTTGCCATAATTTATATAAACATTTTCTTCCAGTCTATTCCATTTTCTTTAGTTTCCTTTATTTTAAAATAGCACTGTAATTTTGATTTTTATATTGTTGAAAATATTTTATTTTGTGTGATTTCCTCAAAATAAAGTGATGGTATAAGAGTTTTGTGAAACTGACATTCTTTTTGTGTTCTCCCCATCTAAACAAGTCATGCAGACATCAAGGGCTTCCCTGACTGCTATGTTCAAATTCCTTGAAGGAATTTGCAGGGACCAAGGAAGAGCACAAGGTTTCCTCTCAGACTAGAAACAAGTCCTTCTACCAAGGCAGGCAGAGTGAGGTCTATGAGAATAGAGGGCTGTGGGAGGCCAATGACTGAGATGAATGAGTCTGTAAACCAATGAGCTGAACACATCCTGGAATGAAAACCTGTTCACTACGAGGTGGTGGGCATCACCCAATGAGGGAGGGAGTCATACACAGGATGAGTAGAAATCTGATGACTGCCATATTGCTGAGGTTTAATAATCAGATTCTTAGGCATGGTCTCAGAAGGCAGAAACTGTAGGGTGATTTTGAGGCCCCACCATTTCTGATTCTTTACAAGGACTGATCTTCCTGATAGGGAATGCTTCAAACTTGCTCACAGAGCCTTCTAATGAACCCCACATACCTGCTCTCTCCTGAATCAGGCTGCCTCCAGGAAAGTCTGTGCCCTGGGCCAGGTTCACTTGTGCCATGGCCAGAATGAGTCAGTAATGGAAGGAGAAGGGCTGCCTCTCTAGGCACCAGGTGGAGTCTTACAATCACATGCGGAGGTGTGGGCAGCAAAGGATTAGCAGCTATCGTTACTCAACAGGAGGGTTTCACTTCAGAAGTTCCATCTGTTTCTTTTTAGCTGATATATAACTGTCTTGCTTAGGCTAATAAATGGTCTACTTACCAACTGTTTTAAGCAAGCATATCAGAGGTTCCCTCTAAAAATGTGCCTGAAAACTTTCAATTTGACATATTGCCCTGTTTGCTTTTTTAAAGCATAGTAAATTCCAAGTCTTTTTTTTTTTGTGTGTGTGTGTGTGTGGGGGGGGGTTGAAGTCAAATAGTAAATTCCAGCTTTTCTGTTGGTATAACATACTGGTGATGAAAGGGGTGCTGTGGAGGTGCCATGGGGAAGTGAGTAAGGATAATAAAGATAACCCACCTCAACACCAGAGATTCAGTTTGGCTAGCTTTACTGACTGCGTTCCCTGAAACTCCATTCTACACAGGGACAGGACAAAACGGTGACTAAGAGCACAGGCTGTGAGCCACATGTCCTAGGGTTGAAACACAGTTTTCATGTACAAATTCTGTGACTCTGGACAAGTCACTTAACAACTTGTTATCTCAGTTACCCCTAAAATGGAGAAAATAATGGAATCCACCTCTAAGGCTTGGCTTGAGGATTAACGATACACATCTAGAACCTATGAAGTGGCACTGTCCGATAGAGCGTTCTGTGATGACAGAAATGTCCAGCCTCTGTACTGTCCAATGTGGTGGCTATTAGCATTTGAAGTGCAGCTTATGTGGCTGAAAGACTGAAATCTTAAATTTTACTGAATTTTTGTTAATTTACATTTTAGCAAATAGACCAACATGACCGGCGGCTACCACATCGGAGGATGCAGTCTTAGAACAACGTCTGGTACATAGTAAGCACTCAAGTGATGCTGGCTTAGTATGTTTACAGTGCAATCTGCACTCTTCTTTTCTCGCATCCTCTCCCTCTGCAGGAGAGTTTCATTGGCTGAGAGGCCACCAGGAGAAAAGACACTGCATGAACCATGGATCCAAGGAGCCAACCTATCAGCCAGGAACTAGAGGACTGACAGTATTCTTGGGAGTGACTCTCATCTGGGAGGTATAAATCCTTGGGTCCACACCAACCACCTCACTTTCACTAGAAGCTGGAGGAAACCTACCACAACCCCTGTGCTTGGTGCCCATAGGATGACACTCCAAACAACCAGCAAAACTTCTAATCTGTGCTCCTGGCAAGATCTGGACTAGGTAAGAACAGGTGCTAGGACATGGCAGGCTGCTCTGCAGCCACTGTCGCATTTGCAGAGTGCACGTGGTATCTTTACTTTTTCCTCCTCCTGTTAATCATGGGATATACAAAAAATTCTTAAGTACTTTGCAGTGATGATACTTGCCAGCCAGGATACATTAAATATCGAGATCGTAGCATCGGGGGACTTGAGAAACTATTTTCTGAGAGAATCAGCTCAATATCTTCATTCCTTGGAAAATATACAGAAAAACCAAGGTTAATTAGGACTATGTATCTTTTTTTTTAAAAAATATTAATATAGTTTATTTTTACATCATTTTGTGCATTTTTTTCCATCTCAGTAGGACTATGTACCGTAAGCTGCCTTTCTGCCTTCTCCTCCTACCCCCCCATAATTACATACTAGCACACATATATGTATTTTTCCCTATCAAATCACTTTCAAGTGGGCTGTATGTTAATGTTATTTCACCCCTAAATACTTCAGTGCACTTCTCTTTCTCTTTTTGTAAATAATAGTTTATTTTTACATCATTTTGTGCCTTTCAATCTCAGTTAGTCCCCGTGAGCTTCCCATCGCCACATCACCCGTGTGCCATCACTGTAGTCCCCCATTTTTGATCCCATTCCCCCCTCCACTACCGTAAAATGTCTCTGGTATGTAGTTGTTCATTATTATTTTTTTTTTCCCCCTAGTCCTTTATATTTCTGCTATAAGTGAAACCATCCGATATTTTTCCTTTTCTTTCTGGCTTATTTCACTAAGGGCATTTATCTTTTTGTTTAAAATAAACAAAAAATTATTTAGGGCCTAACCTGGTGGCACAAGGGGTTAAAGTGCAGTACTATGAAGCTATCTGCAACCATTGTAATTCGAGTTCAATCTCTGGCCAGGGAACTGAACCACATGGTGCAGCAGACATCTCCTGATCTATCCTGCTCCCCTCAGCAGTGCATTTTAGTGCATCTCTCTGTTCTGCTCCCTGCTGTCTCTGGTGAATCCTCTCACTCCCCCCTACCCCCGCCCCACAGCTCTGGCCTATATCTCAGTTCTTATATACATAAATAAATAAATCTTAAAGAGAATATTTACTTAGTAGAAGAAATGGGGTGTAGGCCAGAAGTATGGTAGGAAAGAGGATTCACCACAGAGTGGGGAGCAGAACAGGCGGATTTACTGAAATACACTGCTGAGGGGAGCAGTAGGCGAGACAGGAGGGGTCTGCTGTGCCATGTGGGTCAGCTCCCTGGTTAGGGATAGAACCCAGGCCACAGTGATGACAGCACTGAGACTTTACCCCTAGGCCACCAGGGAGACCCGTTTTAGTGCACTTGCTAAGAACAAGGACATCCTCTCACAGAACCACAATACCACTGCCACATCCAAAGAACTGCATTCTGTGTGCTAGCAGTACTGGCGTCACCTAGGAGCCGGCCAGAAACGAAGACTCACGGGCTCCACTGCAGATCCAGTGCCACATTTTAATAAGGCCTCTTAGAGATTCCTGCACACAGTAATACTGGAGAGGTTTGACCGAATATACACCCATTTTTTAGTTTCCTCCCTTTTTTGGGGGAGGAGTACAGAAGCCAATCAAAGACTGCACGTTCTATTTGCAATCTTTATTTTCTTTATCCTAAAACAGTAAGGGATACTGACACCTGGGGTCCTCCTGGTGATTTTTCATATAGCATCAAAAGCACTTCAAAAACCACTCAGGTTTTAGACAAAGTGGAAAGAGCCTGTGGGCCATAGCCTGAGTGTTATATCTGAGAAAATGGTTGGACTTGAGGAGTAACGTGACCTTGGTAGGTTTACCTGGTGACAATCCCATTTTCTGCAAGAATGAAAGCTGCAGTGGGATTCGCCGCCCTGATGAGGCTCTGCAGCTGGACAAGGAGTGGGTGCCTCTGCTCCGTGGTGTGACTGGTGAAGACCACGTTACTCACTAGGCCTGGGGAATGAGCAGAATGAATGGTTCAGCCTTCAGGGTCCTGACGGGGGCTGAGGACGCACACAAACACACTGGCTCTTGCTCCCTCCCTGATCATCCTTTCCATCCAGTATGACCCCTGTGCAGACAACTCTTACCCTCACAGCCATCATTCTGCTCCCCGTTCTGTCATTACCATCATTTGGGGTAATTAAGTCTCAAATTTTCAATTGCTACATTTCTGGAACTCCTCTATCTTCCTTAATTCTGCATTCTGGCGGACACTGGAGTTTCTTCAATAAAGGCCCCTGTCCACATCCCCTGTATTTAACTTAATCTGTCATGCAACTGACCCTCATCAACTCAAAGCACAGACATTTACTAAGCACCTTATGTTAGTTACTATCTAATAGAGTCTCAAAGAGTGCACAGCCACAGAAGAATCACACATACAGACCCACAATTCCAAGTAAGGCCTCACAAAGATATTGACACAGAGATTAAGGAAGAGGGGCCCATGTAATGAGAGGTATAGAGCTGGCCATAATCACTCCTAACCTTTTCATGAACACATAGAAGTAAAAGCCATTATACTATAGAGAACCTGGGAATAAGCATTAACTACAATGCTTCTCCCATACTCCCATTCCTATTTTCAGTTATGATCATATCATATATACCACTTCTGCTCTGAAATCATTTGTACTTTTGTTTTTCAACCTCTTCTATTCACTGCTTAATACTGAAAATTTCAATCACATCCCAAAGTAGGTAAAGTATTGTATGAACTTCTATGTGCCCATCATCTAGCTTCACGATTACCAACACCTGGCTAACTATATTCCTTTCATACCACACTCTGTTTTTCACTTTCCTCTCCTCTGACACTGGGTGAATTTTAGCCCATTCAAAATATTTCAGCATATCTTCATAAGGACTCTTTAAAAATATTAACAGTAAATGATAAATCATTAAATACAAAAGCTGTCTATGTCCAGACTTCTTGGCCCGCCTGGACATCTGCCGTGCTGCACTTCCTCAGTGCCGTGGTGTGTTCTGGTGACCATCAGGCTTTCACTTTGCTGTTCTTCTGCCTGGAACCACCCTTTCGTTCTTTCTTGTTTGAGCAACTCCTTCCTAGGGTATGGATAATTTGAATAGCACCTCTTCCAGAAAATTCCCTAATCCTCCAAGACTGATTCAGAGCAGGCATTGGATAAAGATTTGCTGTATAAACAAATGACTGAATCAAGTGTAATAAAAGATACATGCAACTTGACCTCCCAAGCAGTTGCCTGAGTAAGTTGTGGGTACCCCACAGGCCAAATTTTTTTTTCCCACTTACAAGTCTGAGCAAATCCTATTCATCAACCAGGTATCTGAAAAGGCCTCTAAGATATATAAGCATATGCATATTTTTGGTATAAAATCATAAGGTATGAAAGGATAATCAGTAAAGTTTCTTTGTGTTTCCTTTGGTACCCTGAGACCAAGTTCTTTTCCAGGTTTTGAGCATATTTCTTCCATCTATTCACATACAAGCGTATAGTAATAGATAGATGCAGGTTTTCTTAAGGGCATCTCCCACTCTCAAAACCTCTATCCTCAAAATCTCTATGTATGATTTAGTTGTGGTTGCAGCACTTGGCTAAGGAACTCAAATGGAGAATATGTTAGCATTTTGTTTATTTTTAAAAGGTTCCTCACATGCCCTTTTTGTTTAGAAGCTTTAAAATTAAGACAGAACATCCTCAGCAGGGTCAGAGAAGCCTCTAACAAAGCTGCTACTAGCAGTGCCCATGCTGCTATTCCAACTGGGAGGTTGCCAGAGAGGCAGGAAGGACACCCTGGAAACCCTAATGCAAGAACCCCATGCCTAGATGCAGCTACCGGAAGTGACTGGGGCTTCTGGAAACTGAGTACAAGGCAAGGTTAGGTGTCCAGGCCCAGACTGTGGCACAGTGGGGAAGCATCAGGATTCTAAAACACTCAGCACATTCCAGAGATGACAGATATGGGAGCAGGACCCTGCAAGAGGTCCGTGAAATCCCCAGGGGCGAAAAGTAAGAACAGTGGTAGATCTTGCAGTGAGGAGCCAGGAAAGACCAAGTGGAGACCTATGAGAGCTCTAAGACTCTGTTTACTATCATCTTGGGCACCGCAGAGTCAGATTAGTGCAAATGTGCCAACCTGAGCAGTGTACCCCAAGGTCACAAGTATGGGCCTGGCTTGCTGAGGAAAAGACTGGGGGAGGGGTGTCTTAGTTTCTGACAGACAACCTGTCCAAAACCCCCTGAGTACCATGCAGACAAACTCTGTGGGCCTGGAATTCTAGGTCAGGAATAGGACAGATAAAAGGGGCTTTGCATTACAGGGAAATAAGCAAAAGGATTATCCCCAGCATTCCTTAGGCCAGCTATGCAAACTGCCACCTGCCAAGAGGAAATGCCATCTTTGAGGCAGGTACTACAGTTTCTGGAGCACAGGGTGAAAAGGCCACAACAGAGTTTCCTCCTGCTTGGGCCTGCAGTTTTATTCTGTTAGGAGTTGGTATCCACATTTGGCCATGGTTCACCAGCCTGGACTGTGAACAAGCAGCCAGGTGTTGGTGGTCCATTCTCAAGAATGGAGAAACATCCCTGAAATCAGTCTAATCACCCCAGTCAAAGCTAAAGGCTTCCATCAGCCTAGGAGAAAACAAACTTTTGTGTATATAAAACACTACTTTTGTCTATTGATAGATGCTTCTAAAAGCCAACCAAGGAAGTAAAATATCTCTAGTCTGCCTCCAAGCCAGCACTATGATGATTCTTGTTTGCTCTTTAGGTACTGACATTACTTCCTAATCCTGAGATTTCTAGAATACACACCATCTTGGGGCTGTAATATAGTCCTTTTATCTTTGTAAAATAATCCTCTGTTGTGGCCCTCCCTGGTGGCACAGCGGGTTAAAGCACAGCACTGAGAAGCTAAAAGCCACTTCAGCTTGAGTTTGATTCCCCAATCAGGGAGCTGGCCCACATGGCGCAGCAGACCTCTCCTGACCCGCCCGCTGCTCCCCTCAGCAGTGTACTTTGTTGATCTGCCTGTTCTGCTCCCCACTCTGTCTGTGGTGAATCCTCTCACCTCCCCTGAGCCTCTGGCCTGCACCCCAGTTCTGTATGCACAAATAAATACATCTTATTAAAAAAAAACAACTCTCTGTGGTAAAAGCAATGAACCAGAAGTCTGATTAACAGGAGCAAAGGAAGGCAATTGGCTCCCTGGGACATGAAGTGTTGGTCCACTCGTGGTGGATCCCACCTCCAAGAGAGCCACCAAATCTCCAAGGAGAAAAGATATACTTGCCTTTTCTTTCTCCCCTTCCCAGACAGCCCATATCTATGGTGAGCCAGGTCAGACCAATCCATACTGACTTCTGGGCCCAGATGCAAAGGAAAAATATTTACCAAGGCACTGTTATCCTATAAACCCCTCAGAAATCAGGAAACAGCAAATGTGGCCTCAAGGTCATTTGCCTCCATATGATCCTATCCCTTCCTTTATATAAGCACAAATCTGATACAGGTTGCTATGAATGATGAATTAGAAAGTGCCAGGAGAATGCAGTCTTTTTTGGTCCAAAAGGACTTTGCTCTTATTAAAATATTGATCCAGGTTTATAGATAGTAAAGACAGATCACTTCCTCAGGGCGCTTTACCAGGGTAACCCAACCATCTTGTGTTTTTCCCACATACAATAAAAAGTGGAGGGGCAGCAGTGGAGAACGCGCCAAGGAGCCATGGTACCCGAGGGTGGTAAAAATCTTATGGGACAAGAGACTGACTATAGTCGGTACTTTTGACTTTGACCATGATTCCCAAACAAAGGAGGAGACAGTTCTCGTTGAGTATTCTCTACTTTCTATTCCAAGGATACGTACAACCAACCTCTTCAGTCTTTGGGAACTAGAAACCCATAAGTTCTAACTCATGCCTGACATCTAGTCTGTTACCAGATTCTACTGACTTAACCTCCCTAAAATGTCCTGAATCTAGCTGGGTTGTATACCTGACCAGTCTCTATACACTCAGCTTCTGGAGTGTTAGGAAAGCAACAGGGTCGAAAAGCTGAACTTGAACTTGGTGGCAGATCAGCCCAACACAAACCCCTCTCTCTGGCTGCAGCGCCTCCTGCTCTGCGTAGCACCCAGCAGCGCAAAGCTGTGAGGGGACACTCAAGTTGTTTTCTTCTGATTTCTATTTGCTGGGCTGTTCAGGAGGTCTAGACCCTCGGTCTTCTGACAACAATGAGCATTTTATCACTACTGCAGGAACTTCAGGATTCATTCTGAGTCTTGAGGCACCACAGTTAATATGATTAAAAAGTGTTGTTTCCAAGGGTTGCCAGACTGTAGGAAAATGCAAGATAATGTAAATACAACCCAGAGGATGGGTGGATTTTTACAAATGCTATCAAGGTGTAAAAAGGAGGGGGGGGGCTAAGGGAGAAGGTCCTACTGGGCCTTACTCTGTACTGCTGGGACAGAGAAATGCACTGAGATCCTGTCAGTGCAGGGCTAGGTATAGCTATTCAGTCCACTGCTATCTCTCAGACAGGGTTATGCCCAGATCAGAAGGGTGTTGATAGGAAAACTGATCATTTTTTCTAATGAATAATATAATAATTTATTTTTACATCATTTTGTGCCTTTTTCCATCTCAGCTGTAATCCCTGTGTGTTTCCCATCACCAAGTCACCCCTGTGCCATCACCATAGTCCAGTGCACTTCCCTCCCCCCACCGTTTTTGATCCCATCCCCCACTCCACCCCCACAAAATGTCTCTGGTATATAGCCGTTCATCATTATCATTATTTTCTCGCCTGTTCCGTTATATTCCTGCTATGAGAGAAACCATCTGGTAGTTTTCCTTTTCTTTCTGGCTTATTTCACTAAGCATGACCATTTCCAGCTCCATCCATGTTTCTGCAAAAGACATGTGTTTCTTTTTTTTGGTTGTTGAGTAATATTCCATTGTGTATATGTACCACATCTTTTTAATCCAGTCATCCACTTTTGGGCATCTGGGCTGTTTCCATGTCTTTCCAATTGTGAATAAAGCAGCAATAAACATGGGGGTGTAGGTATCTTTTGAATCAGTGTTTTTGTGTGTTTTGGGTAGATACCTAGGAGTGGGATTGCTGGGTTGTAGAGAAGCTCCATGTTTAGCAGTTTGAGGAACCTCCAAACAGGGAAAACTCATCATTTTTAAGAGACAAATCTGTTTTTCAAATATGATGAAAGTGAAAGATGTCAGTTTCCCCTGAACCAATTTTGTTTTAGATTTCAGAATGGTACATATGAACAAGAAATTACATTTAAACAGAATTTGAAAGGCATGCAAGCAGGAAGTAAAGCACATTGCTTACCTTGTGAACACTGGTCAAGACATTTGGGAAAGAGAAATCTAGGGAGGAAAAAGAAACATTATGAAACCATTACTGTCCAATTAGTCATTAGTTGTTTCCCACAAAAACATAAATGTCACTGATACACAGGGTGACTGACTGGGGCAAGCGGCAGGCAGCACTGTGCACTGAGGACAGCCACGGCTATACAGAAGGTTTCCAGAGCTCTGCAGCAAAGAACCCTGAGCCAGAGCTCTGCAGAAACAGTAGAGACATCTATCTGGTCAACTCACAGTAGCATGTTGAAGAGGGGGTGGTGGAGCAGGGCAAGTTCTTCAGACCACAGGAAATGGAGAAAGAGAGCTAGCTTTGTTTGTTTTGAAAGCAGCTCTGTCCTCATCATAAAGGGGAACTTCTAAGTGAAAATGAGGAGGACTGCACTTACCTGTCTGGGGCCTGCCGTACCAAAGCTGCCATACCCTTTAGGTGCTCCTTAGAAGCTTAGCTCCCTTATGAGCTCAAACAGTGGATAAAACACAGGAAACTGTATCACGCAGTTAAGTGTGGGTGCCTATGTTTCAGCGTTCCTAAAACACTGCGTTCTCCTTGGGGAAGAAAGCTAACACTAGTGACAACAGCTGACTCTTACTGAGCTCCTATTGTAAGCTGGGCACTGTGTAAGCTGTTCACATTACAATCTTGTTCTGTTCTCACATCCATTCTGTGCCCCAGGTACTTACAAGTTGAGAAGAGGTGGCTTACAGTGGCTAGCAGGCTAAGTGCTTCTTTGCTCTCAGTCTTGCACAAAGCTAGGAAGTGCTGGGGTTTATACAGGGACTTGTGTCTTTCTGGTACCAGAGTTCCTGTATTTTCTTCCACCGCAAGTGAGGTACTTGCTGAAACCATCTTTCTAAATTGTTGGGCTAGCTGGCAGGAATAAGTACTGATCAAAACACTGGGGTAATTTCTCTCTTGCAATTTCTCTGAGGGTAGCAAGTCTCCATCTTTTTATTTGATTTCTGAAAACAGTCAGACACATATCATCTGGAATCAAATTTGGTGGATGAGTGGGCTGGATGAAAACCACTTTGGGTTGTGGCTCTGATTCTCTTGCCTTACTCCCTCATGGTTTCAGAAGGAGTCCAAAGAGGAACCACTATGTGCTCTGAACAAAGTCAAGAGCAGGGTCAGGGGAAGTGACGACCACACCAAAGTCCCTCAAGAACAGAACTCATTGACTTCTCCGCACTTAGTCCACAGAACGGCCTGCTGTGCGTGATACATTTCTGGAAAGTGTCCTCCTCCCCACTGAGTGCCTGTGGCTGGAGCACCTGCCCTTAAGGTCCTTCCCAGCTGTTTTCTCATAGCACCCTGCCACATACAACAATTCACACCAGAGGCATCTCAGACAAGGATGAGCGAAGTTCCCCCTGAAGGCATCGTAACTAGTCATAGGTTGGATGCTCATGTTATAAAATCTCTGATGGAGATGGGTTATTAAGCTGCTGACTTTAGCATCTGGAAAGAGAATATTCAAAACACATGGACTTGCACGTATATGAATTTCCTATTACAAAATGCAATTTCTCTTATCTTGGCATCTCTGATATCCCCGTCTTTTAAATTCATGTGTTGGCTTTCTTCCCTAATCCAATCAGGAATATCTGTTGCTTCCTTATAATTCTTGTAAAGTGGCATTCATCTTTTATCATGGCACTTCCTACCCTACATAACTATACATGCAATCAGTGTAGCATTTGGAAAATAACTTTTCGGAGCATCAACTCCCATTGCAATAATGCCTACACTAAAAGGGGGATTTTAAAAAACATATACAATATTTTTTTTTACCTCATTTTGAGCATTTTTCCATCTCAGTTGTAATCCCTGTGGACTTCCCATCACCAAATCGCCCATGTGCCATCACCATAGTTCAGTGCATTTCCCTCCCCCTACTGTTTTTGATCCCATTCCCCACTCCACCCCCACAAAATGTCTCTGCTATATAGCTGTTCATCATTATTATTATTTTCTCGCCTGTTCCGTTATATTCCTGCTATGAGAGAAACCATCCAGTATTTTTCCTTTTCTTTCTGGCTTATTTCACTATGCATGGTCCTTTCCAGCTCCATCCATGTTGCTGCAAAAGGCATGTGCTTTTTTTTTTTTTTGGTTGCTGAGTAATATTCCATTGTGTCTATGTACCACATCTTTTTAATCCAGTCATCCACTTTTAGGCATTTAGACTGTTTCCATGTCTTTCCAATTGTGAATAAAGCAGCAATAAACATGGGGGTGCAGTATCTTTTTGAATCAGTGTTTTTGTGTGTTTTGGGTAGATACCTAGGAGTGGGATTGCTGGGTTGTAGGGAAGCTCCATGTTTAGCAGTTTGAGGAACCTCCAAACAGTTTCCATAATAGTTGCACTAGTCTGCATTCCCACCAGCAGTGCAGGAGAATTCAAAAGGGGGATTTTTAAAAAGATTTATTTATATATACATACAAAAGCTGGGGTGTGGGCCAGATGTGCAGGGGGGTAAGACGATTCACCAGAGACAGAGCTAGGAGCAGAACAGGAAAATCTATTGAAATATACTGCTGAGGGCAACAGCAGGCAAGATAGGAGAGGTCTGCTGCGCCATATGGGGTCACCTGCCTGACTGAGAATTGAACTCATGCTGCAGTGGCTGAGGATAGCTTCTTAGTGCTGTGCTTTAATCCCTGCACTACCAGGAGGCCTGGATATTCTAAACTTAACCAGTCTCTTACTAATACACATTTTGTTTATTTCTAGCTCTGTTTGATATTGTCAACAGTATTGTTTTTGAGCTATGCAGATCACATCTGCCATGCTTCAGACTTGATAGGCCCTTCTGAACATCTTCCATAGGTCTAGACTCAGTAAGATGATTCCTCTTTTAAAAGGCAGAAAAATGCATGCATTTCAAGCATGTTGACTTAACTTTTACCAACCAGCTGACCACAAGACTCCAAGTGGCAGTGAGGAAGGACAGTGAGAGAATGTATGGTTAGCAGATCCCATTTTCTGGTGAAGAAAGTGCTGGAAATAACCCCCTTCCCACCTTATGGGAGGTTTGTGTATTACTCCTCACTATTTAGTCAATACTGGGACTCTGGGCCTTCTGGAGACTCAGCAAGCTCTTAATGTCCTTCAGTAAATCCCTTTTCGTTTAAACATATTAGAATATGATCTACTATTTGGAATTAAGAATTTTGCCTTAAATACTCCTCTAACTATCATTGCCCATTAGTACAATTATAATTGTATAATAAAATTCTAGTAGTGGAATGACCAAATGTGTCTCTGAAGAGATGGTATCATTTTACATTCTTGCCAACAGTGAATAAATTTCCCTACCCTGTTGCTTTGTAATAAACTAAGTGGCTCAAAATAATGATGATTTATTTTTTTGCCTGTTTTGGTAGGCAGTGATTTTGGCCTGGGGTAGCTCAGCTGGGGCTGATAATCTAAGATGATCTTGCAGGCTTAGATGGGGTCTCAGCTCAGACAGTAGGTGGCGAGGCTTCTTTCTCCACATGATCTCCCCTTTCTAACAGCCTTGTCTAGCCTTCTTCAGACAGTGGTCTCAGATCCCAGAAGCAAGAGCGGGCAAGCCCCAAGGTGTAAATGCTTTTCAAATCTCTGTTTGCTTTTTCATGCTTCTTGATGTCCCACTGGCTAAAGCAAGGCACATGCCCAAGATCAGGTTCAAAGGATGAGAAACTGATTCAACTCTCCAGTTCCCCACAGTAGACCATGTAAGAATTTTTCTCTCTCTATTTTTAACCCATGAGTTTAATACTGGCCATTTAATTGTTTTAGTGGGAAGGACATAATTTAACTTAGTAAAAAATAACCTTCGATTCTTGATCTAGGTCGCATAATTCTCTTACTCTAGTCCAGATGAACCTCCAAACAACAGAACAGCCCTGTAGCCTATGTGCATGGGCTAATCAATAGTTTATCAATGGAGCACTAGTAAGTCACTTTAGTAAACTGCTTTCTGGAAGTTAGAGGTAAATTTAAAAATTTCTCAATAATATCTATAATTTGAGATGTCAGTAATTGTGATTTACTGATACTTTGAGCTCTCAATATGAAAAAATAAGAATGTACTCACAATTTATATTACTTAAGCCTGATTTTGTTACTTATGTTTTACATTCCAGGCATAATTCACACAATTTTAATCTTATTTTTATATTTAAACAGATTATTTTCTTCAATTCTTTCACAGTATTTGTTGTAATTAATGAATTCAAATTTCCTTTAAGAAAAGCTGGGCTCTTCCTGGTGGCACAACAGCACTATGAAGCCCTCAGAAGCCACTGCAGCACGAGTTCCATCCCCAGCCAGGGAGTTGAACCCACATAGTGCAGCAGATCTCTCCTGACCTGCCTGCTGCTCCCCACTCTGCTGTTCCCCACTCTGTCTCTGGTGAATCCTCTCAATCACCACACCTCTGACCTGTATTCCAGTTCTGTAAGCATAAGCAAATAAATCTTTTTAAAAAACAAACAAAAGTTATTCCTCACTTGTTGGTGGCACCTATGTTTTCAACATTTATTTCATCAGCAGTTAATATTTCCTAAACATAGAGATGGCTTCTGTACAAACAGAAGATCAGTATCCTATAATTCCTCTAGTCTCTAATGGCTTTTATTTCTTTGTCTATTTTCTCTTCATCTTGTCATTTTCTCATGCTTGAAGCTCTCTGACACAGACTTAAATATTAGCAGTGATTACTTCTCATGGCTTTGACAGAGATTTTCATTTTCATAGTGATTTTACTATAATCTTTATTTTCTCCCTAGGGCTTTCATTTCTACCTACTTTTATTAAATAAACTCATTCCCATCATCCATTCCACTCAGCAGCTTTATTGAGGTATAACTCACATATCAAAAAACTTACTCATTTTAAGTATACAGCTCAGTGGTTTTTTTTCAGTAAATTTACAGAGTTGTCAACCATCCCGCAATTCAATTTTAGAACATTTCATCACCCCAAGGAGATCCCTCTTACCCAGTTCCCCAGACCTTTTTTATTTCTTCCTTGTTAAGTTCTCCCTACTTACCCTGTTAGTTTCTCTTCCCTTCATATTTTTCTGACAGTATAGAAGAGTACTTGTCTGGGCTAATTCTTTGTAAGTATAACCTTCATCTGTTGTTTGCTAATTACTGCCTTTCCCTATTTTTCTTTATGGTAGAGTTTGTGGTAATACCTAATCATATAAGAAATCTCTTCTTACTATTAATTCACTTTTAAATAAAAATTTGATAGACGGAACAGTACAAAGAGTGGCATGTAAGAGTCAATGAGACAGGTCAAATGTGATGGAATGTGACATTCAGCACTCACTACACTTGCCTAACTTGTGTCGGAAGGGAAAAAAAAACACCACCTTGGCTTTTTTATGGAGAAGCAGAATCCAGGTCACAGCTGAAGAGAAGAGAGAGATGGTGAAGACATGTCTTGGGATCATCAAGGTGAATAGGGAAGTAATCTCTAATGCAATTTCTATGAGAGGTCTGAAGATACCAACTTGGGACTCAAGAAGGGAGTTTTTCAAATGAAGATCTAAGGAGAGATCAGTTAGCCAGAAAGACCACATGATTAAAGAGCTGGGTTAACTCCACCAGGCTAACGCAGTGAAAAGTCAAACAGCTCCATGAAAGGGCAATGAAATGCTTAAAACTTCCTTAGTGAAGGGTGCTTTAATGATGAATAGATACTTTCAGATTCTGCTGGGGCAGTATAAACTATAAAAGCACATTCAAAAAGCAAGTTGGAAATGTGAATAAAGGATGATAAATCCACTGTGCAATTAATAATATCTTTCAAGTATTTATTCTAAGGAAATTATCTGAAATTTGAGAAATCTATATGGATAAAGAGGTTCCAACAACATTATAATAGGGAAGAGCTAGAGTCATTAAATGTCAGTAACAGTGGGGACATGGTTAAGACAATTAGTCCTCCCATACATATAATGATTATATAACCAATAAAAATGTAATTGTGACTGTTTAAACATTTCAAATTTCAATTTTTGAAGTGAAATCTTCATTTGTTGTTTGCTAATTGCTGCCTTTCCCTACTTTTCTTTATGGTAGTATCTCTGGCAATATCTAGTTGTAGATGAGACCTCTTCTAATTATTAATTCACCTTTAAATAAAAACTTGAGGGCCTTCCTGGCAACACAGGGATTAAGCACAACACTATGAAGCTACCTGCAGCCACTGCAGCACAAGTTCCCTGGCCAGGGAGGTGACCCACATGGCGCAGCAGACCTCTCCTGTTTCTTCTGCTGCTCCCCTCAGCAGTGTATTTCAGTAGATTGGCCTGTTCTGCTCCCCACTGTTTCTGGTGAATCCTCTCTTGCACCTCTGGCCTGTACCCCAGTTCTTGTATGCATAAATAAACAAATTTAAAAAATAAAACGAGACAAGAGTAGAATATGCTAGAATATGCTAACTTACATAATGTTTATGTGTCAACCTAAGAAAAAGTGTGTAAAATTATTTGCACCACAATTGTACAAAAAGATCAGAAAGTAATTCACAAAAATTATAATTACATTGAGTTAGTAAGATTATGGGTGAATTATCATCCAATTTCCTTTGTTATTGTTATACTACACTTCCAAAGTAAAAAAAAAAAAAAAAAAAGCATGTCAGTAATGAAAATGAATTTCATAAGTGAGGTAAGATGGTTTTTAGGTGGCTTATCCACATGCAAAAGTATCTCTCAGATATCCCTTGTCTCCAGCAGTCAAGAGGAAAATAAAAGGCTACCATTCCTTCTTTCTGGGAGAAGCTATTTCAAGTCTCACTGACCCAGATGTGCAACTTCTCAAGGCACAAAGTAGAGCAACTGCCCATCCCAAGGGGTCTTTCTGAGGCCCTAGCATGTTACATAGAAGGAGGACTGACGCAGTCCAAAAGACATACACATATAAAGATGCAGCTTGTGATGGGTAGGAGAAAATTGCTTTCTCTACCCTTAAACAAACTGCATGAGCTAGAGATGGTCCTAAGTACTCACTTGTGCTCCATGTAGCAGCTTAGGGGCTCCACACACACTGTGATGGCACCAATGGTGAAGAAGGACTTGACATTTGAGTCTGGATGGGTCTGCAGGGCCTGGACAACATCAATGACATCTGTGTAGCTGGGGGGGGAAGGGAAAAGGTTAGTTTATTGATTGGGGCTGTCGGATGGCAATAGAGTGATACCGAGTGGCTGAGTGAAGAATGGTAGAAGAAAAAAACAAAAGGGGAACTATGCAATTGGATTCCTTAGGGTCACTCCACTTCATGTTTTTTTTTTGAAAGGACAGGTTTATTAGGAAAAGGAGAAGATGTTTGCAGAGATATAAGTGAGCAGAAAGAGCTTCCACTTCGTGATTTAGAATTCCTGCAGTCCACGGTGTTCCTGCATTTCTGAGGCCTATTAGTCTTCAAAACTACAAGAGTAGATGAGTGAACTAGCAATCACCCTGCACAGACCTGTGGCCACTGTAAGAGAGGCTGCTTTACTTGTGGAGAATATTGTCCTGATTCACCCAGTTACCATTAAAAGGCCAGTTCTCTGGAAAGAAGGCAAGCTCGATGGGCAGCCTTGCTCATAAATGGACCTGAGTCTTAGCCTGGGCCTCTGGGAGCCAGTGGGGTGGTTGGAGGACAGGCACAATTTATTTGAGCCATTTTCTGAGCTCCTACAAGCAACTCGTCAGTCAAACAGTACTTGGCTTTATTGCAGAATGCTCACCCCTAGGTCTGCCTCAGTCCTGGCCAACCAGTAGTGCTTCTACAGAGAGCAGGGTGTGTGAGGTTGAAGATCTCCCCTCAGGGGCCTGGTAATCAGAATCTTCTGCTCCCTGTTTCTTTCCAAGGTTTCCCCCTTGGGCAAAAATATGTATGACCACATGGCGTTCATCCCACTGGCTCTGTAGTATCTGAAGGTTCAGCAGTATCCAGGGGGACCTGGATGCCAGAAGAGCTCCTGTACCACACTCACTTCCAGGCCTTTACAGCAATACACCTGGTAAGTGGGATGATGTTCACAAACTGCTTCTCATCTCTTTGTTGTCCTATCTTATGGACTTAACTCTCATGACTAAGTGTCCCAGTCTTGTTCCTCAGCATTGGCTTTTCCTCTCTTCTAAGAAAAGTGTTTTATCCTCCATGTTTTATATGAGTGGTAGATACGCTCATTGCTTGGGGTAGAAAAGAGCTGAAAGCTTTACAAACCAATCCTGAAGATTTGGGTAATTTATTTTAATATAGTAGGATTTCCTACAAAGAGTGGGAAGTTCCAGGTTTTTTGTTTTTTTTTTAAAGATTTATTTATTTGTGCATACAGAACTGGGGTACAGGCCAGAGGCTCAGGGGCGGTGAGAGGCTTCACCAGAGACAGAGTGGGGAACAGAACAGGCAGATCGACGAAGTACACTGCTGAGGGGAGCAGCGGGCGGGTCAGGAGAGGTCTGCCATGCCATGTGGTCACCTCCGGGGCAGGCGGGAATTGAACTCATGCAGAAGTGGCTTTAGATTCTCAGTGCTGTGCTTTAACCCACTGCGTCACCAGGGAGGGCCAGTTCCAGGTTTTTAGCGCATTCCATTAATCTTTATTTATTTATGCATACACAACTGGGGTACAAGCCAGAGGTGCAGGGAATGGTGAGAGGATTCACCAGAGACAGAGAGGGGAGCACAACTGGCAGACTAGAAGTATACTGCTGAGGGGAGCAACAGGCGGGTCGGGAGACGTCAGCCAGGCCATGTGGACCATCCCTGGGGCAAGGTATTGAACCTGCACGGAAGCTGCAGCGACCAGCTTGCAGTGCTGTGTCCTTACCCACTGTACCACCAGGGAGGCCCCTAATCATCATTAATTTTAATGGGAAAAGATTAGAGTGAAAAGTAGGCCCCAGGCTCCTTTGTGAGGCCAATGCATCTAGGTGACATCTCTGGGCTTTGCAGTGGAGGCCCTTGGACATTCAATTTACTTGTTAAGGGGGCCCCAGTTAGCTTCTCCCACTCTCCTTAATCTGTCTTAACAATCATTGTGAGTGTGACCTCCAGACAGAAAGAGGTTGCAGAAGGAAGCCGTGACTCCAGCAGTCAGTCAGAGCCGGAACCAGGTCACTTTAGCTAAAATGTCCTAGGTGCATGATGAAGGCAAAAACCTGGCTCTTCATGTTTGTTTCTTTCTTGTCAGCATTCTCTATTAAAAATAATAACAAAACAAAAACACAGCAAGACTCTAACTTCCTTTCCTCTAAAACAACAGATAATCCATTCAAGAGTTCTTTGGGCTCTGTGTTATGTTTGCAATTTAAGCCTAAAATTTGGCCACCTGTTTCACATTAATTCAATTCTTGTTTTGAGAGATACTTTATTTTAAATGTAGATAAATTAAAGAATGAGTTTATAACATTCCAGAGTATAAGCAAACATAGCCCCTCAAATTCCTTAAAATAAATTGAAAAAAAATTCAGATTCCTCAAGTTTTACTTGTGTATGTGTATGTACGAGGCCCTGTGTAGCTTCTCACCTCCACCACCACAGTCAAGCACCGAACAGTTCCAATACCACAAGGATTCCTCACGCTGCACTTTTATATCTACACCTACCTCTTGCCTGCATCACCACCCCTAACCTTTACTCCTGGAAGTCACTAATTTGCCCTTTGTTTCTAAAATTTTATAATTTCAAAACATACTAACTCACTTTTAAAACAACTATTAGCCCCACTGGATTTCCAAGGGCCTCACCATTACCCTTCCTGCTGCGGAAAATCATAAAGGGACCCATTCCTTCCGGGGCACAAGAACACTCTAGGCTTCCCCTCAAAGACACCTCAAAGACACCTATAGATGAAGATAAAACTCTCATTCAGAGTATAACGTCGGCAACTTGAGAAGCTTCAGCTGTCTCCTTTCACCAGAAACCTCAACACTGGGCTCCGAAGGGCAGCCCAGGAGATGGACACGCTGCAAAGGAGGGTATGTGTTCCTGCTCAGCTGCGAGGAACGGGGCCCGGCATAGAATGATATTTTAGCAAGTCGCAGGATTTAGCTTATATTGACTTGAATCATTCCGGAAATTGATTGGAGGTCCCTGGCATACAAAGGCTGCAAGTGGACAGAGGTTTGATCTGAGACCTCAAGTGTGGGTGAACCACACACTGCAGTGGTGGTCCAGAGCAACCCGGAAGGCCAAAACTTCTCCTGATATGGAGACTCAGAGACAGGAGTCATCAATGCTTGTGAAATGAGGTGAGGTGGAAACAACCTCAGCTGTACAATGTCAAGGTGCCAGTTTTGACTCCAGGTCCACATCTCGGATGATTCTCAACTCTGGCAAAGGGCAGCAAATGATGGCATTGGGCCAATCCATTCCTTTCCTCTGACCAGTAGAAGTGATGGAAAATCAGGAAAAAAACAAACAAACAAACAACCAAAAAAAAAAAACAAAAAACAAGTGACTCCAAGCCCAGGCTTTCTTTGAGGCTTCCTGGCCTCAGTCTACAAGTAGGACAATATGGTTGACAAAAGAGAAGTCCTTGACAGGTGTGAGAAAAGATCTGAAGCATGAGGCCTGGTGGAGTGTATACACATCTGTCTCCCTCCTGCCTTAGGACCACTGGCTGGTCTCCTCCAATGCTCACCATCACCCAACAGAACTTTGGAGCTGGACCTATTCTTTACTGGAAACAATTAGCAATTGAAAATACTCACTATTACTAGCACAAATAATGTAGCATAACACGAAAGCACTTTGTGAAAATGCCAAAAGCTTCTTTATCACCAAGCATAATGACACCAGTAAAAAGCATAACCCAGGCATGTTCTCCTGTGGACTTGGGTGGTGATGGGCCTTCCTCCTTGGAAGCCCTTAGAATAGGTCAAGGAAAGTTGCTTGCAGCCAGAGTCCCTGAGGCAGTGTGTTACACATTCTGTCAAACTTCATAGGGAGCTTCTTGCCCAACTGAACTAATCACACTCCTCACTGAGGGGCCCAGGAAGCCTTCCTGGGCCAGCTACCCTGGGGTTAGAGATTGCAGTGTGGGGCTGGAGCTGCAACTCCATAGGAGATGCAAACAGATAAAGAACCCTTACCTACATGTTAAAGGAAAAGTTTTGGGGGACTCTATTGTTATGGGGACTTGTAAATGAGGCTTGTCTAGAAAACCACCTCCCTAACCACCTCAGAGATGTCATGATGTTGAAGACAAACTAAAAATCTGTGTGCAAGTTACACCACAGGAAGGCAACAGGAATCTTTGCTCATTTAAAGTCTATCTGTGCAGCACAGACACCGCTCATGCATATGTGGAGTTTTTTTCTGTGCCCCAGATTAGCCACACATGAAATAAGAGTAAGAAATAATAACAACACCAAGGTCTTCATCCTACTCCCTGTCCCAAGAAAACTTCCTGTGCTCACCCTTGTAATATCACCAGCAGTCTGGTCTTCTTTCGGATGTAGACTGATTGGCGGGCAGACCGGTTCTGTTGGGCCTCCAGAGCATTAGAAAGGTATCTCTGGAAGTGGGCAACACGAAAACACTCGGAACTGTCCATGATTTGTCGGTACACCATCCACCTGGAAATAGCAAGCGTAATTTCAGCTTAGGGTCCACCCTAATGGCTTGCTCTGTAGGCTCAGCCAGTGGATTCACTTTTGACCAGTGTTCCCAAAGACATTCTGTTTAGTGATCCCGTAGAGGAGAAAGCAATCCCAGCACTGGTTGGTTGGAAGGCCTTATCATGAAACCAGGGCTACTGGAGCTTTTGACAGGGTCTTGCCACTAGATGTGAGCATGAGAGCAACTCCTGACCAGGCTGTCACTTTCTGAGGCACCATTCAATAAAACTGTTTCAATTTGGCACAAGGCAAACCTGTTCTAATAATCAGAAATGGGCAGGGTGAAGGGTTCAGCCTGTTTATAGAATAGCAGCAATGGAAATGGGAGAGGAACCAGTTACCTATTTAGTTTGTAATACAGGAGGTTCCCAGTATCTTTCCAAAATTCATCTGCCCAACCCCCAATCTCCTACCCTACTTGAGGCAATTTCCACATTCTTAATTCCTCTATGACCTCCTGCAGGATGTGTCACTTTGAGACTACCTGGATAGTAAATGCAAGAATTATTGAACAGTCCACCATCCAGGTGTAAGTGAGCCAGTAATTACCCCAGGTGCACCTGAGCCAACATGGCCCAGGTGCACCTGAACTTCTGCAGTTCCCTTGTGGTCAGGAGAGGATTATGACACAGTCACCAGCTCCTAAGTTCTTTTTTTAATAGCAATTAAAAAAAAAAGATTTATTTATTTATGCATACAGACCTAGGGTGCAGGGGTGGTCATGGTGAGAGGATTCATTAGAGACAGAGTGGGGAGCAGAACAGGCAGACTAGAAGTACACTGCTGAGGGGAACTGCGATGCGTCAGGAGAGGTCTGCCACTCCATGTGGTCACCTCCAGGGCCAGGATCAACCTTGCACTGAAGTGGCTGTGATTGGCTTGCAGCGCTGTACCTTAACCTGCTGTGCCACCAGAGAGGGCCAGCTCCTAAGTTCTTTTAACCATTGTCCTGAATTGCCTTGCTAAGTAGGCCCACTCCCAGCTCTCTGTCCTGGTTTTGCTGCCACAAGGTTCTTTCCTAGACATCCAGAGGGTTCATTCTCCAAATTCTCTCAGGCCTTTGCTCAAGTCATTTTCTCAGTGAAGTCTTCTCTGAACACCCAGTTTAAACTGGAATACTTTCCCCAACCTAGCACTCTTGCTATCCTCTCATTTATTTTCTCCATTATCTTCCATTTCTTCATTATTAGGTCAATTGTTTTTCCAAACTAGCATGTAAGCACCCTCAGATTTTTCTGTCTGGTTTGTTCACTGATGTATTCCCCCACACTTAGAATAGTGCCAGGCACACAAGAAGGGCACAGAACAAATGTGTTGAATGAATGCATAGATGGGTGTCTACTGTGTAAACCAGGCACACCAAAGTTAGTACATGTTGAAGGTTTTCCAGTACCCAGGCAGGTCCAATAACAGAATCTCTTTCCCCAAAGCCAGGGTAGCAGCTATACTAACCTGCCATATTCTTTATGCAGAGTGACCAGAAAAGCACAGAGTTCACTAGCATGACAACCTGGGAGGCCGGTTACAATGCTGATAATTACCTACAAGGAAGAAAAGTGACATGGCTTTGCGATCCAGCTGAGAGGCAGCACTGTGTAAGAGGTTAAAACAAGTGACTCCTGGATTAGGTTCTCTGTTTCTGGCTGACTTTTTCTTTGATCCCCTATCCAAATTCTCTCATCTTGGTTCCTACTTTTCAGCACAGCATGCTTGCTTACAGTCAGTTACTTTCTTAGTTTAAGGTGAGTCCTATGGCACCTTTTAAATAAAATATAACATGATCGTTTTCAGGCTTTTAAACTCTTGCCTTAGGAGAAAATGATGTTTCTAATTGCTTAGTGCTTTTATTTTCTTTTGCAGCTGTCTTCTAGATCTGCTTGGTAATAAATGACTTCTTTGAGTATATTACAACATACAGTTCCAAAGAAATGGGAGGGGTCAAGAGGAGGAAAGAGGATTAAAATCCACTCTTGGGAAGACAGTGTTTATAAAGTATCATCTTACCCTAGAGATGCCAGCAAGTCCTTACTAATGAGGCCCTTTCCTTCATAAGCTCAGTGTGTCATCCACTGCCGGGTAAAGTCCTTGTCACAACCAGAAACAGCCAATGACATAAGAGTACTAAGTAAGAGTTCGAAGAAGCAAGGGGGTGGGAACAGCAAGATGCCAAGGTTTCATCAACTCCGGCTTGGCCAGGGTTAATGCAGACACCTGTACACAGTCATCGTATAAAGCAGGTTTCATGTATATTATTACATCAGTATCCAAGGAGGTGGAGAGTCTTATAAAAGGGACTCTGCCTGAATAACCTTTGTTAACTGACACCAAAGATCCAAGGGCAGGGAATCAGGATTATCTGCTTGTGAATTCCCAGCATATTTCATGGGTTCCCCTACCTTGTCATTTTCTCCTCTGTGAGCAGGTTTGATTTCAGCTTGCTGCAGCAGGACAGGAAGATGGGCCCTCATCACAGGCTCCTGACTAATGCTGCTGATGGCAAAATGCTGGAGAAACCTAGAAAAACAATAACAATGCTATTATGTTACCATCACTAGCTCACCTGAATGTGCCCATTCACATGAAAACTTATTTAACTGCTGGAAAATAAACCTTAGAGAGATTCGCTGTAGGGAATAAAGGTGTACATCATGTGTCACTACTACCTTTACAATGATCCCTAAAAGCTATGAAAAAAAAAAAAAAAAAACTTAGAAAGGAAGAACACCAAGGTATGGGACATTGTAAAAACTAGACCATCAAACATCCATTAACCAAAAACCACAGCTCACCAGTCCAGTTCTGGGAGTTTGGCTGAGAGCAGCTTCAGAGGACTCCATTTCTCCCCAGAGGAATAACTGAGGACAGTGAAGAGCTTCTGTGCACTCGAGTGTCTGCAGTACCAAAAGTTACAGATCAGAACTCTATCTCCCTACAGTACACACATGCCTTAACTCATTCTGAGGCTTTCAAGCCAGAATCCTGTGACATAGTCAATGATTTCAAAACAAGCATTCGCTGACTTAAACAAAACATAGTGGTACTGCATGACGGCTGACAGGAAGTCTGGCCTGAAACGTTGGTAACAGAGGCATTTCTGACTCTTGGTGGGTTTTATGTCTTTTGACTTCTATTTCTCCAAGGTCACTGACTACCTGCAAGTTGGCAGCACTGAAGTGATGGGTCGGCCCTTTCAGAAGCCAAGATCCCTTGTTATTACATAAGAAGCCACCCTGCAGAGAGCACACACACACAGCTCAGGGAAGCAAGCACAAACACTGAAGGCAGTCACTTACAGTCTCTTTTGTTCTACAGATAATCCATCTTCCTGGATCACTTTTAAAGAGAGCACTGAGTTGGCCGGCTGTTGCCAAGGGGAGAAGACCTAAACAAAACAGAATTTGAGCAAAGAACATTTAAACCCAACAACAGGATATGGAATCCACATGGGGATTTGATGGTTGTTGAAAATCTAGACTGTCAGTACTGAGAAAAACCATCACAACAAATAAGTTTGCTTCAAAAATAGATGCCTGAAGCAATTCTGTTCTGTATTTTTCAAAACCAGAATCTCTTTGAGTTTCTCTCCCAGGGATTCTGCTCCTTTAGAGGCTAGGAGGCATAGAGGAAAGTGTCCAGTGACACTGTTCTGGCAGTGGGGAATGCTCTTCCCAAGTAACGGGGCCAGCAGAAGTGACCCAAGCACTCCTGTGTAAAGGAGAAGAGAATCTAACGGCTGTCTCTAGGTCCCTGGTCTGAAAGTGTTGCAGGGCATCCCAGTGTGAACTGGGCTGCCTATCTGTGGGGCCTCACATGTGGGCTTAAAATTCAGTTGTACCGCAGGCACACACAAAAAGGTCAATAATGGGTTTATTTACAAAAGGGGAAAAGAAAAGGAAGCAACCCAGGGAAAGAGGGGATACAAAGTAACTGGAATATCTTACTGGCTCCTTTGACTTTGGAGCTCTGGTAACAAACTGAGAGCCCCAATCACTCTGTCCTGGTCGCGAGAGCCGTTTCCCAAGTGAGAGAACGCCTTAGCAAAATGGCTCCCTATTTATCCCCCAAAGCCCCAGAATGCCTGCTTAGCTCCACCCTTGAGTCCTCGCAATTCTTTCCCTGGTACTGCTGGGAGTTGTAGTTTCCCATCACTGGAGTAGGGGGTAGAGTCCAGAAAGCTGGAGTTGGGGGTGAAGTCCACAAAACTCTGCAGAGTTCCTTTAGGACATCCTTCCCCTTAACAAATGGACAAGCACAAGGAGGTGGGCAGGACTAGTGGGCTGTAAGATACACACAGACTGGCCTCAGATGCCACTCTGCAGCCACAGCCAGCTTGTCTTCCCCATGTTCTGTAAATTTATTTTGACGGCAAGACACTGTTACACCACTCCGAGTATTTCTACTAGTTATGGGGGTAGGCATGTGTTTGACTTTGACCAGTGTTTGGTCTCAAAGTGAATCACATAATTTTTGGTACGGGACCTCACACATGCAGTCTATGCTGAGTGCCTGTCATGTGCACGCAACCTGCCGGACAAGACCATTCAGAAGGCAGGGGCTATGAACTCTGAGGGAAAGCTGGGTGGGGGACAGGGCTCTGAACCAGTAGGTAGGGACCAACAAATTCAAAAAGGAGCTAAAAGGAAAATGAGTCTAATTAGGATTTAAAGGGAACAAAGCTGATTTTTCCTAGAAACTAAAAGTCCTTTTGTTCAGTTGCTTTAGGCTCTCAACCTGGAACGCAAGTGTACCATTCTAGTACCCAAAGGGATTCGAAGCAGTTTCCCTCATCATCCTTCCCAACTCTTCATCACCTCACTAGTAGCCCTAAGACATTTACCATTTAAATTGTTAGGGGGAAAAAGTCATTATTTTATTAAAAAATGATTGGTATTACCTCTGTGTAAAATGCTTGGTATATCTTTGATTTAGGGAAAAGAGCAATCATCAGATAATTGCTTGATCCATGGAACTGAACCGGGAGGTGGGGAAGTAATGAGCTTTTGAAGTCTATCAGAAGGGCAGCAACAATACTGGTGGAATCCTAAAGAGAAAAAGAGAACACTGGTGAGAAAAGTTGCCTGCATGATACCAGCCCTCATAAATGTTGTCAAAATATGTATGATGAATTATCTGTAATTATTTTCATATTATGCAGTTTACTGGGATTTAATTACAGATGTGTTTTTTAATTACCACTTACAGATCACATAGGAAAATACAGGGGTCCTTTTCTCCTAAACTGAACATTTTATCTCAAAATTTTTTCTAGGTTATTAATCCCTTTTCAGATATATTTTCTCCCATCCTGTGTAGGTTGTCACACTGTGTCCTTTAATGAACAGAAGTTTTTAATTCCCCCTCATCCCAAACCTCTGCCCCAACATTGAAAACTTCTATTTTGATGAAATACAATGTATACATATTTTTCTTTTTCACCTGTGTTTTTGGGATCATATCTGAGAAAAGGATGAAGGGGGCCAAGTGGTTGAGGTAAAGGACGATGGGTACTTTGATGGCTGGAGTGGCACGACAACACAGATCTGAGATCCTTCAAATCACACACAGAGTTGTCAACCATTGTTACTTCAATAGAGAGGGGGAAGAAATGAAAAGGCTCTCCTCTTCTCATTGAATGGTTTTCACAAAGATCATTTGACTATATATGTGCTTCTTTTTTTCTTGGCAAGGGTATACTTCGGAGCTATTTTATTCCATTGGTCTACATGTCTGACCTTAGGCCAACTCCACATTGTTTTGATTACTATAGATTTATATTTATACTAAGTTTTGAAATTAGGATGTGTAGCCCTTCAAGAACAACTAAGTTGTTCTTGAACAATCTTGAATTCAAGAATAATTTTCAAGATTGTTTTGGTTATTTGTGAGTTCCCTGAGATTCCACATGAATTTTAGGGTAAGTTTTTGTCTCCACAAAAATTATAGTTATGACTTTAATATGAACTGAGCTAAATTTGTTCTGTTATCTTAATGAAAGTAAATCTTCCAATCCATGATTATACATATCATATTTATTTAAGTCCTCTATATATCTTTTCAGCACTGTTTTGTAGCTTCCAGTTTACAAGTTTTAACTTCCTTGCTTAAACTTATTCTTAATTATTTTACTTTTTTTGATGTCTCTAGGAAGTCATTTCTGGAACCATTGAAGGAGGCCTTCTTCTTCAGACTAGTTTCTATCCCCTGTGGGGTGAGTTGATGGATCTAGGAAGCTGCTGGATCTCAGAAGCACCCCCCCCTTTTTTTTAAAGATTTATTTATTTATGTATACAGAACTGGGGTACAGGCCAGAGGTGTAGGGGCAGTGAGAGGTCTCACCAGAAACAGAGTGGGGAGCAGAACAGGCAGATCGATGAAATACACTGCTGAGGGCAGCAGCAGGCAGGCCAGGAGAGGTCTGCTACACCATGTGGGTCAGCTCTCTGGCCGGGGATTGAACTGGTGCTGCAGTGTCTGTGGCAGCTTCACAGTGTTGTGTGCCAACCTGTTCGTCACCAAGGAGGATTCCCAGAAGCCCTTTCTAGCAAAGCCCTTGACGACGTTACAAAGGTCTATAAGAGCTCTGAGCAGTTTCTCTATTACTTTCCTGTCTGCCTCAAGCACACTGCTGATTCCTGACATTCTGCCTCATGATTTTCCCCTCAGAAGGGTATTTTGCTGAACATCAAAATCAACGATTGGTAAAACACTTACCCCATCATAGAATGAAATGGAATTCATATGATCCTTGGAAATGATGATACTTCCATGATGACGATGAGAAAATAGAAGGCCATTAGAGAAGAAATGTACTTTTCCTAGAAGGGAGAAAGAGCCAATCAGATGTGGAGAGTCACATACTGGGTGGGGAGGGAGAGGTCAGATCTCACTGTCATTCCTATGGGTATCAGGACATGCCAGAGAGGTAACTAGAGATCAGTATCTATAGACCTTAAATTGTATGATTTTTATACACAGCCTTCTGTTCTGGAGAAGTCAATGCTTCCTTTGAAGCCTCAGGCACAAATGAGTGTTCAATGGTCTTTACATAAAACTTAAAAAAAAAAAAAGGGAATAGTTATTAATTGATGGGGAGAGATGTCACACTTCCTATGGTTCTTCCAGGGAAACACACTTTAGGTATGTCTCTCCATTACTGAGTTTATACTTCATTACTTCTTTTTTGGGAGAGGCTGGTTTAGCTCTAAGGAACCACATCTTTCTCTTAAAGTCTAAGAAGGAGCACCTGTGCTTGGTGAAGGAAGCCTAAGGATCTTTATGCCCAACAAAGGAGCTTTTGAGTTAGTGTCTCTCTAGACACTAGAGCCCTGCAGTTCTATAGTTCACAATGTAAGAGGGTGGGGTATGGAAAGTGGATGTGAATTTCTCAGGACAAGGATTCAGGTTTAAGGAGAGGTGGTTTCCTGAGTGGCTAAGGCCACACAGAACAGCTAAGTATGAACTTTAGGAAGCTTACTACAGAAAATGTGGACAACTAAAGTGACAAGGGTTAAGACTGAGCCCTGGCTTATTTTGGAGATGAATATGAAGCAGTCAGAGCACCTTAAACCCTCTCAGTGAAGCTGCTCTGGAACTGATTCAAAACTGGGTTCTTTCTGTCCTGCTTTAATCAAATTTCTTTCTCTGTTTTCAAAGAGAGAAAGTAGTTTGGGAACTCTAGACATAGGCTTGAGAATATTGCTACTAATATATTATTGCTTAGGAAGAAGAGAGGAGACAAAGAAAACAGACTGATTCCTTGAGCTGTAGTTCTAGTACAACAGCCCCAAAGCTCTGGTGATTGTAATGACAAGTAGAGTAAAGGCCAAGGTAGGGAGTTCTAGAAACCTCAAGTTTTGAGGGCTTCCTGAGGAGATGGGGGCATTAGGGGGAAGGAAGGGCCTAGTGTGTGTGTACGCTTGTGTATGTGTTAATGGAGGGTGGTGAGAAGTGAGGGAGGTGGAAGCAGTTTTTAGGTACATCTTGTACAAGATGTACCTAAAAACTAGGAACTAGAAATCCAGTCAGAAGGAACGAATCATCTGGGGCAGCAACAGTTAGAGAATAGCCAGCCAATTCAAGACATTCAAGATCAAGCCCTGTAGGCTTCCCACAAGCTAACGAGAAAAGTCTGGCCTCCTTATACAGTGTTGCCCTATGGCCCTCTTCAGTAGAGGTTACTCATGCTCCAGCCTCATCTTCTACCAATGCACCAAGGTTCTTTTCTGGTATATTCCCATACCAGTTCCCTCCAAGATGGAATAATACTTTTATTCCCTAGAAATACAAACCCTCCTTGCCCTTATTGCTCAAATCTATTGCCCATCTAATCAAACCACGGCATTGCAAACAGCATCTGAATGGTCAGTCTTCTCCTCCAAAACCAACACAACCATTCTTACTGAGAGATCAGGAAATGGCTCATGCTACACTCTGGCTTCATTGCTCCACAACCCCAACTCCACAGCAGTAAAGCAGCACTCGAACATCTTAACCTTTTGAAAACTCGAACTACTGCATCCTATGATCCTTTTAGCTGTCTCATTCCCCACACCACTGTCTCTGATGTCACTGAGTCTCATTTTCACGCAGTATTTTACTCAGTATCTACTGAGCACCATTCATAGTATATATATTACAGCTTTTCCACATTGAAATAATTATAGTAGGTAGTGTTATTATAATAATTACAGGTGAAACTTAAGCTTGAAGACCTTTCTCCAGAAGTCATAGAACTTCTTGGTGGAGAAGCCAATTATAGAATACAGGTTTGTCTTATACCAAAGCCCTTAATACCACAATGGGCCCCTGCGGTTCTCATTCCTTTTTCTGCGACTTTTGTTTTCTCCAGAGCCTGTGTGTGGCTAATGTGTGATGATGTAACTTCTCTGCTTTCTCAGCATCAACAATCCAAATGTCCTTCCATGATTGTCTTCCAACATCTTCTACCAGCAAAACCTCTCATGCTCTCCTAAAACCCGCACTGAGTACATTTATTTTCCATGTCCTTGGTGACCCTCTACCTGTGTACTTCCGAAGTTAAGCTTCTCAGAGGCCTTCTAAAGCTTTCAGAATAGAAAACAAACCCAAGAGATAGCACATTCCAAAACTCACAGGGAAGATGAGGGGAGAGATAGAACAGGGGTCATCTTCAGCATTTCTCTCCCTCTATACTCTGACACCTCAAAACAGAATGGAAAAAAGGAAGACAGAACTTCACAATGCAGAGCTGGAAAAGCACTCATTAAGAAACCTGGTCCAGGGAGAGGGTTCAGCAAACAGGTACTGACTTCAGTATTGATGCAGAAACTGACCTGTCTTGCGCTACCCTTCGGTCTGCGCTGGCAGCAGTACTTCTTCCACTGTTCTCATAGCATGCACAGCGTAACTGAAGTGACTCACTGGGTGGCAAATTATCAGTGCCCTGGCCTCTTCGATCCTGATCCATATGAAATATAACACTTTTGGTATCTGTTCTGGACTCATGACTGTCATACTGTGGTCTGAAGAGAAATGCCTTTGTGGGTTTTTTCTCACTGACTGTTAATAAAGTCTCTCTGGTTCCTTGTCTCATTCTCAGGCTCTACTGGATGGGTTCTGTCATTCCTTCTTTACTATGGAAATCTGAAAACCCAAAGTAAGAGGAAGTTCCTTTATAATATCCAAGAAGCAGCAGTAAATGACTGGCCTCTGCAGCCCCAGAAGTCCCAGAGAGGTCCAAGTGCTCAATGCAAAACAAGGCACCAGGACATTTCAATGAAGAATTTAGTGTTTCTTTTTTCTGACAACTGACTAACAACTAAAAATCCCCCAGTTAAGTCTGTAGAAGAGAAGCACTTATCATTGCAGGAGAGATCTGATAATTTACACTTGTATGTGTGTGAAATGTACACTCATGGCTTAAAGGGGGAAAGAAGCAAAACAGGACAAATGTATACTTAGCAATCAGGCTAAGAAATCAAGAATTACAAGGACCTTTGAAATCTCTTGAAATTTCTTCCTCAATGGCTCTTTCTCTTCTAGAACCAACATCCTGGGCAGTTTTTAATCACATTCCAGGCGTCCGTCTGTCCATCCATCATCTATCTATCTACATATGTGTGTATATATACATAGAATCTCATCTGCCGCACTTTATAAGCAGCACCCTGTGACTTGCTTATCACTTCTCTCCACATTCCGCTCCCTAGTAGCCCAAGCTGTAGGTAATATGCAGCTGTACAGTTCATTTGCGCTCAATGCTGCAAAGAACTTTCTCTTTAAAAGTACCCTTCTATATGCGAGAATGTGCGCACAAGGGAACACGTGGATGGTGCCGAGTGAAGGCAGCAGACAGTGATGACCATGGAAGATGGAAGTCACCGTGGTCCCCAGAGTATCTGGATGTGTTCCCTGCCCCATGTACTGGTGGGACTGGCACCTCTATTCTTCACTACTGAATAAACCTCTATTCAGTTGTGGAATGGAAACACCACAGGAATCTATAAATCACTTCAGGGAGAATGAGTAAGCTGCCCAAGTGCCAACCATTTATTGAAGCCTGCAGGAAACAGCAGATAATGGTCAAGTGCTATTCAACAAAGGTGCAAGACAATTCACAGGAGAAAGGAGTGTCTTTCAGTAAACAGTGCAGTAAAAACAACAGCCTGTTTTATATGGAAAACAATGACCATCAATCCACACCTTGTACCAGACGTTCTGCCCATTCCTACCAGCCACAGTGGAAAACCTCATTCTTCACAGGCATGTCAGGCAGAGAGCTCAGACTGCCTCATTGCAGGTTAAAATTAGGCCTAAATTAAAAGCTGCTCCTTTCTAATACAACTTAAAAGCCCAGATAATAGGACAGAAAAAGTATGTTTAAACTTAATATAACTTATCCTGTATGTTCAACAAGCTATAAGAAAGACCTGAGTGTTAACCAGAGACATGAAATACATAAAAAATACCTTAATTGAACTTCTAGATAGGAAAAACATAACGTTTGTGGGAACACTACACCAGATGAGTGATGACACTAGCTAATTGTCAAGAGTTTAGTACTCCCAAGTACTGCTGCCTCTGCATTCACTGTGGGCCCAAGTGGCCTGCAGGGACTTTAGACTGACGCTGGCTCCTGCACAGAATGCCAAGCCCCTGACAACAGCCCGCAGAGTGGCAAGCAAGCTAAGTTCTTGATATGACCTCCCTGATAGTCTTTGCGATCAACAGTTTCCCCACTTTCCCTGCTGTGGAATTTATCAAAAATCCTACTCTTGATTTGAATTGACCAATCTGGTCTCAACTGGGAATTCTACCCACAGACCCCAGTAAAAGACATGTGTCCAAAAGTCCTGCTCCTCTCTCCACTAGATGTGACTGACAGTTCTGTTGGGTCAGGTTTGCTTGCATGTGCTGCTAGCACTTGTAGTAAGTTTCTCTACTTCAATTGTTTTCTAGGCCTCTTGTTGAACCTGCCTCACCACTTGGCACTCTGCTCTACTTTGTAAGTGTTAACATTAATAACAACAACGCAGAAGAAAAGTTTAGTAATTAAGTGAAAATACATAGAAATAGAAGCTGTGCAAAACAACACACAGAAAAAAAGACTGAAAATAACTATAGAGCATCAAGGAGCTGTGGAACAACTTCAGGCAGCTCAAGTATATGTAAATGGAGTTTCCTAAATGGAAGTGAAATACTAAGAAATACTGGCCAAATTTTCTCTAAATTTAAGGAAAACTATATATCTATCATTCCGAGCAGCTACATGAATCAAGTATAAACAACATGAAGAAAGCCACACCAAAAACAGATAAAAGTCATTGCTTACCACTGGTGATAAGAGGAATAAAAGATAAAAGTAGCCAGAGTGAAAAAGATTCCTCACATAGAAAGGAGTGAAGATAAGGATGGCAACAGACGTCTATGCAGGAATAATGCAAGCGATAAGACAGAAGTATGGGACATCTTTAAAGTACAAAAACACACTGTCACCCTAGAAGTTTTGCCAAATGAAAATATCTTTCAAAAATCCTGAAAGGTGGGATTTGAAGTGTCTGTGAGGAGTCTGGCAAATACACTACCCCCAAAGTAGCAATGAAACTGAATTGCCACAGACAGAAGTAGAAATCTGGTGTTCTGGCCCAGGGCTGTTCACAACTTCCCTTCAGCAACATGGTCCACAGTCTTAGGAGTGAGGGGCAGCCTCGGGGAGAGCGGCAGCCCCGCAGAAGGCAGGAACAACGCAGAAAAATCTACACTGCGGGATGTAAAAATGATGGTAAAGGTGCAAACATTTGGAAACGGTCAAGCCAGAGAGGTCAATGCTGGTTGGTGCAAGCGGGAGTGCAGGTCTGCTGGAAATGTAACAGGAAAACCAGGGAGTTAACAAATGCATAAAAATTAGTTTTATACTGTAATTGCAAGGAATCAATGCTGTGTGTATAGAGAAACGGGTACTGAGAGTGTTCATGACAATATTTTCTATAATATCACAAGATTATAAACAATCCAATGTTCATCAAGAATCAAAAGGATAAAAGCTCACTTTCATACAAAGGAATCTATAAAGCCACAAAAGTGAATGATCTATATGGTTACATAGAAAAAGGTGGACAAATCTTAGGAACAGAATATTGAGCGAAAAAAGTAAGTCTATGAAGACACTGAATATGCTTTTATTTGGATTACACTGTTAGGGATATAGGCAGATGTGGTGAAAGTCCAAAACAAGCCACTGGGGATTAGGTGCTGGCAGCCTGCTGATGAACAGCAGCAGAGTGGGGAAGTAAAAGGTACCAGGACGAGAACGCAGGGAAGCTGTGACAGAAGAAGTCACTAAATAGGTGAAGGGAAGGTTCCCGAGCTGCAAGCATTTCAAAGTAAAAGCAGTACTATTTTCCTTATCCCTATGCAATTCTCTGCACTTTCTCCTGAAAATGAGAGAAAATGAGAGGACATGGACTACCATTACCTTACACTATCACAGGCAAGCTTCTCTCTTTCATGGGCATTGGATGTGAAGTTCATCAGAACAGTACATGCCAAAGAACTTTTAAAATGCCTGCAGGGGATGGAAGATAGATTTCAAGGGCACCACAGTCTAAAACAGAGGCAAATTTACACAGGCATAAATGAACTTAAGCTTCAGGATCATTTACTTGGTACAAGTCCCCTTCCAAGACCCTGAGAAGATCATGAATACTTTGTATTATTTTTCCTTAAGAGAGTATCCAAGTGGTATAAACTGCAAGTCCCACAAACTGACCATGGGCCCTCCCTGGTGGTGCAATGGGTTAGGGCACAGCACTACAAGCTGGCCGTAGCAGCATCAGTGTCGGTTTGATCCCTGCCCCGGAGGTGATCCACATGATGCAGAAGACCTCTTCTGACCCACCCACTGCTCCCCTCAGCAGAGTAATTCGTCGATCTCCCTGTTCTGCTTCCCACTCTGTCTCTGAAATACTGCTGGAGAGGACTCATTTAAATGCTTTGCTTCTGTTCAATTTTCCTGCTCCAGAAAACCATCTCCAAATCTGACTACAATTCCCTTAGAACAAAGAAAATGTGAAATCTAAACTCTAAATGAGTGTGATTGACAAGGCCCCAGAAATCCCTGGCTCTGCCCTTTATTCTTATGTAAAGACCTGAGGATACAATGAATCTGGCTGGATAACTCAATGCAATGCAAGATTATTTTTTTAACAAAACAATTTGCCTAAAAGGTGCAAATTAATTTTGGTAAATATCCTTGCTAATATTACAACTGACTCAACTATGACAGAGCAAAACCACCACTGTGTTGTGTCCACAACCTGTTTTCAGACACTACACAGCCTTGCCCCAAGGCTGGCGGCACTGCCACACGCTCCCTGCCCTCAGTGACTAGTTCTTAACTGTGTCGTTGGAAATGCAGAGGCCATAGCACAGGCCTCTGGATAACATAAGCATTCTGTAGACTGAAAACCAGAACTCTTTGTGCTTTGCCCTCTACGTGAATGAAAGAGTTGAAGCTGAACCAATGATCTTAGAATGGGGAGAAGAATTTGCCACCATATAGAATATTTTCAAGAACAACATGTTTACCCAGAAAAGAGGATTTATTTAGTAGAGGTTGAAGAATTTGTGAAGTAAATCACAACCCCTCCTCCACAAAAAGGCTATGTCCAACAGGGAAAGAACAGGACTCATAAAAAAAAAGTGTTATTTTGAGGAAACCAAAAAGGAGCATGGAAAAAATTCCTACTAAATATAGGCAAAGACTAACAAGGCTCTTGGGAATTTCTATCAACAGAAACACTTGAACTGAAAGGGACAGAGTATGAAATGAAAGCAGACCATGGGACCCTCCAAATTCTAGCAGAAAGAAGCAGGCTGAAAAGCTACTTAGCCATAGACAAAGTGCCACCTTCATGAAAAAGGAAGGATGACAGAGGTGAAAACAAGAGCCAACAGCACAAAATTATGACTTAAGGCAAACCGAGAGCCCGGGACAGCGCTAAAGGCCAACAGGGGTTACTTCCAGGTCTTGAAACCTAATCCTGAGCTGGAGTTTGCCAATCTGAATTTCAAAACTGCCTTGGGCTGGTAAGTACTTTTTATCTTTAGTTTCTCACCGTTTCGAACCTGGGTGTCTGTAATTATTATCCTATGCCAGCACTGCCTCCTATGCTGGAAAGGCTGGGGGCAGGTAACTTGTGTAATTTCACAGATGGGAAGGCACTGTGTTCAGGAGCTGCACTTAATGGATTAAACGAGAGCTTCATCTATACCTGATATTGATGATGAGATTTCAGAGTTTTGATTTGCTGAGATTTAAGACTTTGACCTGTTACCTTCATAGGATGAGGAGCTCAGTTTGACTGAGGGGGGGGGGGGAGGGGATGACTCTATCTCACATGTGGGCAGGGACATGAACTGTTGGGGCCAGAGGGGACTGCAGCAGGTACAAATTTCACATGTCCCCCACAACCTGCATCTCTTGATGTTACTCCTGTATACATATAATGTTACAAGGCAAAAAGGAAATTATCTGAGTGATTAAAAATCAGACTATTCCTTTATAAGCAGGGATTTCTCTGGCTGATAGCAGAAGCATTCAGAGAGATTAGAAGTGTGAGATCCAAGGCAAGGGAGGTTCTTCACTGCTGAGATGCAGGGGGTCAAAAGGACCTTTGGGAGGTGCTAAAAATGGTTCTAGCTGACATTCCTACGGAACTGGATTCTATTAACATCCCGGAAGATCTTGGGGGCAGGTTCTTCTCCAGGGCCTCCAGGTAAGCCTGAGTCTTGACAGTCCATCAGACTGATGGACTGATGTCCTGACAACAGCCTTATGAGACCCTAAACAGTTCAGCAGAGTTCTGACCTACAGAACTGTGAGGCAATAAATGTAGGTTGTTTTAAGCTACTAAATTTATGGCCATGCTACACAGTGATAGAAAACTAATCCCCTCATGCTGAGGGGAATCCTCAGGCAGCAACAAGTGGGCCAGGGGAATTCTGGAGCTACCCCTTCTCAGCACAAGTTTTCTCCTCTGCAAAATGGATGAGTCAAAGAAGAAAAACTAAAGCTAAAAGAAAATAATTCTACACCAATCCAAGGCTTTTCAAATATGAAATGTACTACTCATCACACCCACATGGGTACATGCAAAAGAGGGATCCAGATACAGTCAAGAATAGAAAAATCATAGCTGCTGACCTTCCTCAGGGCAGGACTGCAGGTTGCTGGAATAAAGATATGCTCCTTCTCCTCCTGTCAGAAAAGTGCCCAGGAAACACTCATCCCCCTTTAAGAAACAAACACAAAGGACAGGTAATTCAGTCCATAAATATTTATGGAATCGTAAGTTCAACCCAAGTTTGTCAGTCAATCTACAAAAGCTGCTTAGTTAGTCTCCCATACCCAACTTTTCTTTCTCTCTTTTTCATAGAGCTCTACTGGAAAAATGACTAATTCTCAAAAGGGAAGTGAGACAATGGTACAAATCCTTTAGTTAAGTTCTAGGATGAAACACTTTAAATTACCTTTATAAACTATTACATTTTATTTGGAGGTGATGTTAACATTAAGAAAGCTGGGGCCCTCCCTGGTGGCGCAGGGGGTTAAAGCACAGCACAAAGAAGCTTAAACCACTTCCGCATGTGTTCGATTCCCG